AAATAGACTGGAGGAAACTCTCATCAATTATACGCGTTTCCTAAATCCAGTTGAGGTACAACATACACATAACCAAAGAATCAACTTTTGACTAGCGGAATAGTAATAAATATTGATATTGTACACAGTCATATGATATGGAAAAATTCATTTTTCGATCATGTGTGAACCAAGATCAACCATTTCGAAATGAGTTATTGTCAAGCTGAAAAAAATGACCGGGAAACTAGGTTTTCTTTTTATTTAATAACTTATCGGATCCACAAAGAGGAATATGCCGTACTTCAAATTTTACACTTTTGATATTCATTTGTCTTGATTTCATTAGAATAAAGAATACAATTACCGTTTTATGCAGTTTTTAATGCATAATAGTCAACTAAACAAAGAACTGTGAATGTCAAACATTATTTTGTAGCAGATATATGTAAGATCTATTTAGATAAACCTCCATTAAAGTAAACGCGAGTGGATTAAAATCAATGATGAAAATAGTTAGAGAAGTTGAATATCACATGAATCATAATGAACAACATGCGTTTATGTACACATGTAAATATACTAATGTAAAGAACGTAAGTTGAAGTAAGAACAGCGACAAAGTCAGAGTGAATTATTCACAAATGAAACCGTAAGTAATCCGTAAAATAAACAAATACATTAAGCAGAGTAACTGATAAGAGTTAACACTAAAAAGCTATGTATTTATAGAAATATTTGTATGCTGAAAAATACTTTTGAAAGATTAACCAGGGTTAGTAGTGAAAACAGATCAAAGTGGAGAGGCTGTCACATCTGGGATGAAGTTTCGCACTCGAACAAAACGACAAGGAGGGAAATGTTGGTTGGTTAGTTCTAACACGGTGGTACTTTCACTTGCACTGGATCTGATTTGGAAAGAAAACATTAGTAATAACAAAGTTAATAATGTCGTTAGGATTATAATTACACACACCTCATAACAGTACACAAAGAAAAACTAATGAAAAAAGGGTTAACAACGTAACTAACATGAATAATGTGTTTATAAAGATAGCTATGACTGAATACCTTACAAACTTAACGATTATAAATCATAGTTACAGTATAGCGTATATAGAACTTATGTACAGTATACTTGTTTTTTTTAGTAGTACTAAAAAGAATTAATAAGAATCATTTTTCGACTGTCTGAAAACATAGGATTGAAAATCATTTGATATTAAACATACGAAGCTTCATAATTACGACGGAACAATACTGGTTCCCCTTATTTCTTATCCATTTTAATCCATTTATTAACCTTGTTCTATTCCCTAGTATAAACTGTACCTCACAAATCTCACTTTGTTATAATATCCATATATAACTAAACAATTGTCAACCAACGTCAAGATCAGAATTTTCAATACGAATGTCAAGACGGTTCCACTGTATGGGGCAGAAACCTGGAGAACAACGAAGGCCACTATCAAGAAGATACAAATGTTTATCAACAGTTGTTTACGCAAGATACTTCGGATCCGTTGGCCAGACACTATCAGCAACAAGCTACTGTGGGAGAGAACAAACCAGATTCCAGAGGAGGAAGAAATCAGGAAGGAGCGCTGAAAGTGGATAGGACACATAGTGAGGAAACCACTCAACTGCGTCACAAGGCAAGCTCTCACATGGAATCCTGAAGGTCAAAGGAGAAGAGGAAGACCAGAGAACACATTACGCCGTGAAATGGAGATAGACGTGAGAAGAATGAACAAAAGTTGGATAGAACTAGAAAAAAAGGCCCAGGACAGAGTGGGTTGGAGAAAGCTGGTCGGCGGTCTATGCTCCATTGAGAGTAACAGGCGTAAGAAAGTAAGTAATATATAACTGAAGAAAATAAAGTTGTACATCCACAATTCAAAAATGGAATTATCAAAAATATTTAGCCAGTTAGGTGAATTTAATATTCAGCAGTAAGTTTAAAATCCATCTGCCCAATTTAATTTGAGAAGTTGGGTATAATTATTAACTCTCTCTCATACATACACACAAAATGGCTTGAAGTCAGGTATGTGAATCTGCTACTTGGTTACTGAATTGCTAGTATTATCACTAATCAGTAATCTAGACGCTGTTGGTTCGAGTTCGGTTACTAATAAGCACTTTATCCAACTTCTTAATCACTGTTCTTGAAAAAACTCGACTACTTATAGGTTGATACAAGCTGGATAAAAAAAGTTACTGGAATCATTTTACTTACTTATCAAAGGTATGGATAACATATGAATCCCATAGAAGCTGATTGTGTAGACAGCCTCTTTTGTTACCGATTTTAAATTTCTACAATTCAAAAATATATGTAACTTAAACAAAAGTATCCATTAAAGGTAAATGCTATTAATTTCAGCCATTTAGTAAGAATATTGATTGAATAACTACTGAAAGCTAGACAATACTGCTTATTAGTTTAGTGCTACAGTACAGGATTAAATAAATCAACGAAAGATTTTGTTTGAACATTGGATGAGGATAATTTTATATAAGAACAGATCCTGTGGTTTATATGAAGTAACCTAACAGCCATTCTTATATACAGTTATTCCAAGTTGACTGTACTAGCGAAAAATATCGATTGATTGGGAAATGTAATGAGATCTTGAGAGTGATTAGTGCCTGAACATTTTGGTAACAGTGATGCACTGAATAGTGATACATGAAAAATACCATTGACTGATCTATATGCATTAAAGATAAGATGCTCTCACTAAGACAGATGTTTATATGGAAGATTTCCCATTTTGTAAAACGAGAGACTGCGTACTGACATCAGTCAGTCAGCTACAACATAGGACCAGGCACATTTATGCATCGGTCCAAGTTGCCATACCTCGTTAGCACAACAAGATGAACACCGGGTTCATAGAAGTAATTAATTTAGTGGTGGTAGTAGTATATAAATTATAGGTTGTATATAAGGATATAGTACAGGAAGGAGGAGAGATATGAAGCAATTTTAGTCTCAAGGTTTAAAGGAAGATAAAGAGTGTATACACCTACGCCACTGTGATCGATTCTGAGCCATGTCACACAGAGTCTCCAACCATTGGTTACGATAGTCACGCGGACCCCAACCAGGTAGTCTGCATCTACCAACATGGCTCAGACTAGAAGTTAGTGACTTCAAACACTGATGCCATGTTTTGGTTTGGCCGCCCCTAACTCTCTTTCAACAATCCCCTACACTAGTCATCATAGCGCGTCGTGGTAATCGGTGTTCAGGCATACGTAACACATGGTCCAACCATCTCAGTCGATGAAGATTCATGACCTCATCAACCGATTTACCATCATCCATTAATACTCTGCGTCTAACCTCACTACTACTTACCCGGTGATCCCAGCAGATGCGAGCAATATTTCTAAGGCATCTGTGGTCAAATACTAGTAACCTACGAGTACCTTCTACTCTTAATGGCCATGTTTCACAGCTGTAAAGTAGAACAGAGCGAACTGATGCGCAGTATACTCGTCCTTTAATTGATAGACGGATATCTCGTCTTCGCCATAGGTGATGTAAGTTGGCAAAAGCCAAACGAGCTTTTTGAATCCGTGCTGACATTTCGTCAGACACCAACCCATTAGGGCTGATCAGACTTCCAAGATAAGTGAAGTTGTCGACGCGTTCGTCTACTTCACTCCCTATCCTTAGTTCAGATGTTGACGCAAGTCTGTCCTGAATCACAATTTACATTTAGAGGAGGAGAAACGCATCCCAAACATCCTGGCATTATTACTGAGTTCCAACAGAAGACTCTGCATTTTGTCAGCGTCTTCACCAAACAGGACTATGTCATCTGCGTATTCTAAGTAACTTAGTGGTCCCCCTGGTAGGAGATCAACTCCTGTAAATCCAGTCGAAGAGAGTGTTATTTCCAGCAGCAGGTCTATAATGAAGTTAAACAAAAATGGGGATAGTGGACAGCCTTGACGGGCACCACTTGAGGTTGTAAAATCATATGACAGTTCGCCATAAGCTCTCACTCGACTGGTAGTGTCCGAGTAAAGAGCCTTCACAAGGTTTATGTACTTCTCAGGTACACCTTTCAATGACAGACACTGCCACAGAACCTCTCGGTCTACAGAGTCAAATGCTGCTTTCAAGTCAAGAAAAACTATCATTGTCGGACGCCGATAAGCGTGTCTGTGCTCTAAAACTTGACGAATGGTGAATATGTGGTCGATACAGCCACGACCAGGTCTGAAGCCAGCCTGATTTTCTCGTGTTTGCAGTTCACGAGTCTTAGTTAGGCGCCCGATAATTATTGAGGCTAGTATTTTAGATACTATGTTAGTCAGACTAATCCCTCTATGGTTATCGCAGATGATTTTGACCCCTTTTTATATATTGGGACAATCAGTGATTGTGACCAGTCGGATGGGATTACATCCGTCTCCCAGATTTTAGCCAGAATATCAGTCAACCTAATCGCTAAAATTGGACCACCATATTTAAAGACCTCTGGAGCCAATCCATCTGGACCAGCTGCTCTTCCTCGTTTCAGATTACCTATAGCCTTTTGAACTTCAAGTAGGGTCGGGGGGCCTACTTCAATGTTCCATTCAGGTTTTCTGGTAATAGTGGGTAGTTGCGCAGTAGCTGAAGGCCAGCTAAACTGCTCCTTAAAGTGTTCCGCTTATCGTTCTAAACGTTTAGGTTGAGAGCAGATAAGGGTTCCGTCTTTTTCGGAGATTGTCTCACTTACACTTGACTTCTTAATTCCGGTTTCTTTTATTAGTCTGAATAGTTGCCTGGTGTTGCCTACAGCCGCTGCCTTTTCCATCTCTTTTGCTTTCGTTGCCCACCACTGCTCACGAACGTTCCTTAGACTTTTAGTTAACCTAGATCTAATTTGTTTACGCTCTTTGTCATGTTCAGAGCCTGATGGGATGAGTTTACGCGAATCCATCAGTGAAATAGACTTAGAAGAAATCCATTGGTTTTTTTGGAGCCCTATGGTTTAAATGACTAATAGATGTTACTGCTGTTTCCACAGCTGTTCGTATGTCTTTCCAAGCAGCATCTGTGTCGCGTACTGACATACTCTGAAATTTGTAGAGCAAGTTTACTAAAATAAGGGCGCGCGCAAAACCACGCGGACCAACGTAATGTAGATGTACATTCCACTTTGATGAAACAGTTTGATATATCTAATTGTGTAAATTCAAATAGTGTGCTATTTCGTATAAATAGCATAATATCGATCTACTATCTGTAATCTTCTACAACCAATTTGATGTGCGTTGCTAACTCGTTAAACCTCTTTACATACTACTTCCGAATTCCTGCAACGAACAGTTTGATATCCAGTTTATTCTGGTTCTATTCCTCTTGTAGAGCGTCAATGAATTTTCATATGTTTGGAGAAGCGGGGTTATAGTAAGTTGGTTAAGGCCAATATGCTACCCCTCTACTAGATCTTCCACAAAAGAACTGTAGACATTCTGTAGTTACACTTGGGAACCTGTATCCCTCCGGTTTCTACGCCTTGTAAATCTCCTCATCCAGATTCAAAATAATTCCTTAATACTTTGATTTTTTTCATTCTCTACGTGAAATAGTAACTCCATTAGACTGTCATATAGAGTTATATCCACAACCAGCACGAAATCTAATGTCAACTGATGGATATGCGAAGCAAGATTTTCAGTTTAACGACTGGGATAAAGTACGTACCTGTTATTGTGAAAAAGATACACTTTGGTTTGTATGAACAAATTAGCAGATAACTTGAACACAAATAGTTATTTAGCGGGAAAGACCTAACATCTTCTATTATAACTTGTGGCTGAGTGGATGCCCAGTTAATGTATGACGTGATAAGACCGCTAATCAGAGAGCAGCGAATTGTCGATTGGAACAGTGACACACGAAAACCGTACGAGCAGTCTAGAGTGGTTATCGGTTCTGCTTCTACCTAGCCCAGCCACATCGTACCCATAAAATAGAAAATAACATTTGTACAAGATTTAGCCAAATGTGGCTGTGAATATGGGAGGCAGCAATTAATAGACTAGGGATAACTCAAGAATGGTAAGTCGTTTAATAATAGTTTAAAGTTCAAGATAAAGCTCATGATAAGAGGAACATGGATACGAATAGTTTATTTATTTTGCAATTATACGATAAAAAAATATGCCTAATATTGGTTCATAAATAGATCCCAAAGTTACCCTTCACTATTGTTATTGGGACATAACATCTTAAAATCTTTACACTTTTAACAAGTAGTGGTGGAGTGATAGCCATTTAGGTAAGACATTCTCTCTCCTTCTCATTCACACGCTCTTGTCTTTCTTATTTTCTTGACAAATGATGATTTGGATTGAATTAGTCTTCAATAAATACATATTCGACCAGTCTAGATGCACAACTTGCAGGAAATGATTATAGTTAATTATATAAACTTTGTACAACCCTAAAATATGAGGGAGAACTTAGTAGCCAATTAGCTTTCACAATCATTAAGTTGTAGGTTTGGATACTTAACATAGCCTTATCTACTTCGATGTGAACTACCAACCATACATCAGGTGATGACTTAAAACCGAATAACAACATATACTACGCAGACCTTCAACTGTATTTTTCTTACAAAAAATGATACACAAACTTACTATTGTAAACGTAACAGTTAACTGTGGAATGACAGGACCCAAGTGTTGGCGTCTCCGTATTGAGGGTCGATTTTGTTTATCAGGAAATTGATGTAAAGTGCACACAATCTGCAAATAAACAAGAAAGAAGTAACAAAATTATGGAACGGATACACTAAACTAATTTATAATGGTTAATGAACATAATGAAAAGTAGTTTTTTATAGTATATGTGGTAAAGCTTGGTCGTAAAAACAAAATTCAGATATTTAAGGGATATTTTAATGTAGTATTGCTTGTTCGGAGTTTATAGTAGATTTTTACGAGTCAGTGTATTAAATCAACTCAACCTTGGTAAGGCATGTAGTCCCAGTTGTTTAGGTACGACTAACGTGTAGCTTACAACCTACTTGTGTATATAGGGGTGCAAAGATGTAACATATTTAAATATTTAATTCAATTTGAAATGGTTTGGATTATTCCGTTGTTGATATTTTTGAATGAAATTTGATAAGTCTTGGGTCTCAGTAGCTAAGTGTATAATGCGATGTAGTTTGAAGAAAATAGTGCTGGGTTCGAGTGCCCGAGTAAACATCAACTCTCGGTTGCAAGTGCATCCATCTAACGACTCTCGAATAGGACAAAATGCGCGTTCTGGATTCCACTGACAGCTACATCCCATTTATTATGTGTAGTTAAACGTTACGTTGCAAGTTCAATATGTCCCATGGTTTGGTCTGATGATTGGTACTTCCAACGCTTGTTTAATCGAATTATTTTGAGAAATAAGAGCACCGCTAATTGCAAGTCGCCACTGGACGTTTTATATGCAATAGAAGTGTCATAAATGGTATTTACATGAGTGATGATTTCTTGACTAGGTGAAGACGAACTAGACGGAGACTAGAAATTACTCTATCAGCATAAACTTGTTTACAATAGGAATGGAGAAGCGATTTGACAGTTAAAGCATTCGATTTACAACTGATGAGACAGGTTCGAGTCATGTTCCATTAACATTGATTTGGATAGACAATCAGTATCAATAGTCCTCAACAAAACATTGTAGCATAAAGACGAGTGCATACACACATGCACTTGGTTAGCAGGTTACACTGATAATGGCAAGCTCTCCATGCATGATAGCGAATTGAACCTAAATAATAGTGAAAAAGGAAACTAGATGATTACGTCCTTCTTTAGGGTATTTTCGTTGGATTAACTGTCACCACCTAACTACTACTCAGAGTTGTCCAAAGATAATGGAATAACAGATAACCATTGTTGATTTATACCGGTAATAAGAATAATGATAGTCAACTTACAGAATCATGATCATACCATTCATACGTTCCCTTCAATAATGTACCAGAAACAGCTGTTTTCATAACTGCTTCGGAATTGGAATTATTATTGTTATTATTCCCAACTAAACTGACATCCATAGATGATGACAAAGACTGATGTGATTTACTTAAAACTGCCACAATTGAAGATGGATCTGATGGTGCAGTGAACATGCTGATTTGATTTGATGAAACATGAAAACGTATACCACGATAATAGACAACTTTAAATACAGGTTTATAAGAAGAGCCTATTTCCGGTTCTCCTGTTCTCACATAGGTTACACGACAAAGATAACATCCTCGGAAAACATGACATTAAAAGAGGAAAAAAGAGACAAAATATCAGATTTTCACTGGCAGTTAGTTGCAGTTTTCCTGCAAAAAACACAGTATGGACAAATGTAAAGAAATGTTACAAAGCAAACTATAAAGTGTTCACTGTGTATATGGTGTGAACCGAATGAAAGCTGATATCAGGGAGTAATACACATTATAAGTGCACATGGAACAATTTTTAAATTTGGAATGGAGAAATATTTTACTAAGGAAGATTAGTTTATCAATAGTTTATTTAATCAATGTACATATTATTATTACTATATTAAGCATTTAAAACTACTTGTAATTCAAAAGGTTGGGGAATATTAAAATTTTCACATTCGGTGCACAACTACTTAATAAACAAATATTTTTTTAATTATGGTGATAAATAACAATAAAATTTGTAATTTGAACTCAGTGAGTAGGTAAGAGTGGTCTATATATGCGGTTTGAGTCATAGTTAACTTGTTACAAAGCCAACGATAAGGCTTGGATACTCAAGCTGAGATTGATGAAAGAATACATTCTGGAAGTGATTATAGAATACAGAGACTAATATGCATAATTAGGGTGGTACAAAAAGGATATAGAATAATACTAATCATAGTGAAAGACAGCATATTATTAAAGTGTGTGGTTTATTTTAGACTGAACAATTCTGATAAAGTTGTTAACAGTGTAGGACACAACATCATCATCAATCGAAAGTGAAATACCTGGCAGCAGAAGGTTAAGAAGATCGAAGAAAAGAGAACGAGAACAGAGAATGATTGCAGTGGAAATAAAGGAACGATGAAGTCTGAGACGAATGATTATTATTTATTTATTTAAACACATAAATATAAGTACAAGGAAACACCAGATACATATGCGCCATACAAATCTCATCCGATTTGCTTGAGGGCTGTGATACTGCCCAGGTGCCCGAACTGAAGCAGGTGGTTTTCTTAGGGGGCCACACCCCGAGCCTTTGAACGAAAGGTCTGATTCACAAGGCAGTGGAGCATCGTGAGGAGATACAGTCCCATGGTAGCCGTTGACCAGCAGCAGGTTCATTCACCATTCGTTCCATCAGGATACTGGAGCCCATGTGCACCATTGGTTTGGAATCAGGGTTTTCCAACTCCCCTAAGTGGACGCGCCGTGTCCACCAACCCGGTTAAAGCGCCGGACATTCGCTTTTCGTCCTCTCACTTTCGTAAACAACACCCCCGCCACGAGAAGGCAGTGAGTAGGACTTCCCTGGCAGAGGCTATATATTCGCTGGCCATGTGAGAGCATTTCGAGAGGGAGAGTGGGCTCTCCCCACTCTCGGCCATACCAGGGCATTTGGGGGCTTGATTGACATTTGCAAATGAAGGATTTATTATATGGTTCTCAGATTCTACTAAGAGATTCTGCAATGTATTAAAATACATTCGATTGTCCCCACTTGTGTTCTCGTTCACTTATTTATTTTAACACATAAACATTGGTACAGAGGGGCACCAGATATAAAAGCGCCACACAAAACAATGAGAATGGGAAGGGAAAAAAGAGAGCGAGGTGCATATAAGAAAAAAGAAGAAACCCAGTGCTCATAAGCGAGACGTTTCGCGAAGCCGCAAGCGGCTTTACTCGCCATTTTCATGGCATCAAGCAGTTGCAACCAATGCTCATCTATATTCTTCGATGGGATGGTGGCTAGCCTAGAAGCTAGCTCGGTTCGATACTTACGTGCAACAGAAGTTGCAATCAATTTACTGACATCAATCTGTTGATGACGATCAATTAGTTTGCCACTGAAAAGTAAGGTAATATTGACGCAGACCAGGGCATTTTCAGAGTCCAGGTAGGTACTCCAAAATGAGCGGCAGTCTTGTACACAACCACGCCAGCGGTAGCTGATCGCGATGTGATCAATCTCAGTCCAGGCTTGAGATACGAAAGGAGGACGCCAAGTGGCACATTGACGATGACTGTGCCGAAGTTAGTGCTAGCTAGAAACAGGTTGTAGTCTGTACACAGTTGCGGTAGACGGTCCCTGTTATCTTTCCCGCGACTAACAAGTCCCAACCGGCCATATAAACGATTCTCTTCTGTGCCTAGACGCCTGACCTGTGTATTCAAGTCTCCGGCTAGTACTACAATATCTGTCGAACGCGCTTTCTGGAGAGGAACTGTTAACTGATGGTAAAACTCATCCTTGATTGCATCCGGGCTGCAATCTGTCGGGGCATAGGCGGAGATGACGAAAAGACATCGATTCTCACTCCGATTTCTTCTCACTTTGATGGAACTTTCTAACCTAACAGCACATAATCGACTGTTAATAGGGATCCAATCGATTAGTGCTGCCTCAGCCCTAGCGCATAGTGCAACACCAACGCCAGCATATAAAAAAAATGATAATAATAATAATAATAATAATAATAATAATAATAATAATAGTTATAATAATGAAAATGAGTGTCATCAAGTGAATGTGAATTGTCTGAATTCTAATAGAAGTGAGCATAGTGTTTTGTGAAGTAATTGTCATCTCATTAGACTTGTGTGAGGGCCGTGATACTGCCCGGGTGCCCAGACCGAGGCAGGTGGTTTTCTTAGGGAGCCATACCCCGAGCCTTAGACCTAAAGGTCTGATCCACAAGGCAGTGGGGCATCGTAAGGAGATGCAGTCCCATGGATGCCGGTGACCAATAATCCGTTTATACGCTGCTTGTTCCATCAGGATCCTGGAACCCAAGTACACCATTGGTTTTGGAATCAGGGTTTTCCAACTCCCCTAGGTGGACGCGCCGTGTGCACCAACCCGGTTAAAGCGCTGGACATTCGCTTTTCGTCCTCTCAATTTCGTGAACAACACCCCCATCGAGAGAAGGCAGTGAGTAGGACTTCCCTGTCAGAGGCTATATACGCGTGGTTGTGTGAAAGAATTTCGAGAGAGAGGGTGGCCTCTCCCCACTCCCGGCCGTACCAGGGCATTTGGAGGCTCTCGTCCACTACACCTGACCTGTAGTGTGTATTGTAAGACTGTATAATAATAAATTCGCTTTTTTGAAAAAGAAATTAGTATGAACAGCAGATTTAAGTCTGCTTGTTATAATTGGTAATTGTGTAAAATGAAGTAGTGGTAATCGCAATGATGATGTCTAACTGGACTCCTTAGCGGATTAACAAGTGGAAGCATTACACGAACTACTAATATTTAAAAATGTTGAACGATAATATTAGGGTCTGGTAAATATTCGATGGAAGGAATATATGTGAGGTTTATATGAGCTAAGTTCAATTCAAAAACAATACTACTCAGAAAGAAAACCAAAGACATAAGACATATAAATCATACCATGATATAAAACTTGTGGTCGATAGATAGCCATTTCACGCCATGAAGTATAATTCATTGAGGATAAATAACTAAGTTGATTATTACAACCGATATTATTATTGTTATATGTTAGCCACACTGGCCATAATTTGAAACAAATATCTCTCCATATTGAATTATCATTAGCCAACAGATAGAAACCACGACATACCTGTTGATAATTCAAAAAAGAAGTAATGAAAACAAAGTTAAGAAATAACCATTTATAGTACGAAATAACAAAGACTAGGTTTAAATAGTATGCAATTAAATAAGTTGGAATACACAAGATTGGACGTAAAATGCTTTATGTAACAGGTTAGTTTTACCAACACACAGATAGATAGTTTATGTCAACGTATTCGCTTTAATAAAAACACCAGAAGTTCTTGTGTCCTATCTTGTTTAGATTTGATTCACATTTATTAACTGAATAGGTGAAGGAATCTGAACGGTTGATCTGCGCGCTTACGAAGTTTAGGAACGATCGCAGTCTCAGATAAAACCACCAATCAAAGGCTTACACAGAAGCGTATCTTAAATGAAAATAACGATGTTGCCTCAGCAGCAGGACCTACTGATGAAAATAACCTATCCCATGTCAGCTAATACTCTGAAGGGTGCTAACTTACCACTTATGCCCGCAGTGACCTCAGATAAACAATCTATACCTAATGTAGATCCTAATCTGATATCTCTCATTGTAACATTAGATGTTCATACCCAAATACCTAGCTCTAACGTGAAATTTCTTCAAAATACTGTTAAAATTAAGTCTATATCATGTAAGAAAAAAGTTTATACGAACTGTCTGGTTCCAAAACTAATACCAAAAATATTACAATGGCTCAACCATACAAAAATATACTTTCCGACAGCATGTTTTACTCTACAAATCGTAGGGGTGGTTATAAGGAGACACTTTGTGCAAACGACGTACAAAACGGGCACCATAACCATCATGTAAGCAGGCCTAATATCAGACAGACTTCAAGAAATCATTATGTTTCAGGGTTATTCCCTAAATATTTGTACTGAATCTGCAAGACATAACTTTTCTCACCACTTCCACGATAGACAAGATGGACTATTAGGTTACGCACCATTAACTCAACCTCAACGAATACGTGACTTCCGCAAATGTCTGCCAAGTCATTTTAGCAAATAAGTCTACCTTATCAAAATAATGATTATTTTGGCCTTCAGAAATCTTCGATCCTTTTAGCCCTACAGTTTGTTCAAGCTGTAGTCCATATGATCAGACACCCACAATCAAGCAAAGTCCAGTCAACTCTAAAATACAAAACATTGATAAGGACGTTCTCGGTTTTTTTACATTTCCTTTTTAACCTTACTACTTATCAATGCACAATCACTTCTAGATCAAATTCCGGCCTTAAGAACTTTAGCTTCACCAACCAAACCTTTTTTCATAGTTCTCATTGAAACATGGTGCTCTCTACCAGTGTTTGCTTCGAAATTAAATATCCAGAACTATCAACTCTATCTCAGTAACAAAGAAGCTAAGACTAGTGGTTGTTGTCTTACACATGCCTTGGACTCCCTAACAACTAATAAAGTTGAAGACAGTGTCCTGAGTAGTTTACTTAAATCGGTCTGGATATCAAGCAACACTGAATCATAGTCTACTAATAGGATGTATATACAGAGCTCCCGATAATTCGAATAATATGCATGCATCTGCTCTAAACTACAATGCTAAGATTATTACAAGAGATTCCAATTATCCTGGAATAAACTGAAATACTGGTAGTTGTCAGTCATGTAATGATGAATTTACAGCAACCATTAACACCACATTGTTTTTGTGTACTTTATTTTTCTTTGTTACGGCCTGACTTTAACCTGTCTAGTTGACCATTTAGTTTTAATATAAAAATGTCCTAACAAGTATATATGTGGTGAGATTGTTCGAAAAGTGTTGCGCAAATATATCACATAATTCTGATAACCTTCGTTTTCTTATTGCATTATCGAAATTTGTCAAAGGGACTAATTGTTTTAAAATGTATTAATTTTTTATTTTGTATACTAACAGTGTTAATTTACGTTTTAGAAACAGATAAAGTTTAACAAGCCAAATAGCTTACTTGTTCTGATTTTGGCTAAGCCAAGACTCTGTGCTCGATAGTCTAGGGAATACTTTAGAATTACAGCTGTAGAAAATTACTTTCTGCAATCTAATACGGATAGATCAGAAAATAACCTGACATATGTATTATGGTAGACCTAACTAACCTATCGTAATAAATACTACTCTTTTTGTTCCGTGTTCTCTGTTTTCGCTTTACTTTCTCTAGTTATAGATGATTATAATAAATTCGGTATGAGGCAGGAAATGACCTTAAATGCACCGTTCATACATCAACAGGATGTCCACTTAAGAAGAATTAAAAGCACTTGGCTGACGCATTTCATTGCCATTATACATGTAATAAATGTACTACCTAAACAATCTTTGAACTAGTAGACTTATAACAATCTTATATTACATGTTTGTTCTCTACTTTTAATGTTATTATTTACATCAAGCTGATTATGATTGTAAACTGGCACGAATTCTGTAATTATTATTTTCTGAATATATATACTATGATTATTATCTGCCATTTATTTTCCTACATGAACATTACCAATTACTTTTTCTCCAAAAACATCGTTTGTCATCACATAACAAACTTAATGTATAGGTTTCAATGTAATCACTTGTTGTTTCTCCAAAGAAGCATATAAAGAGAAAAATTCACAGACTATGTTGATGATTCTGTTTGAATTTAGAAATAATTATCTTAAACATAGGTTATAAACATTTGATAAGAGCGTTTGAATACATTACACGATTAACACACGTAATCAATTACTTAGTTTCTTGTAATACATACTAAGATGGAAAGCAGATGGCTCAAAATCTTAAGCAGACTGCAAATCATAGGATTTGTCAGGAAAATATCTTAGAACCACTAAGTCAAGATGTAATGACTCATTTTGTTCATGATTTCAGTTATTTTTGTGATAAAAGATAGCCTCAAGATATGTATATTTTTCTATAAAGGTACTTTATTTGATTTCAATGTTAAATATATCCACAAACTAACAGTTATGTAAGGCTTCGAAGTTCATTTGTAGCATAAGCAAATAGTTCACTGGTAACTTTGTTAATAAATAATGGGATGAGCAATAACATTGAAACACTTGTATATATTTGTTTGATTGAACATTGATTTTTTCAGTTGTGAAATTATAGTTTCTTTGGTGATCTAAAACAATTATTTATTTATGATTCCCTGGAAAAATGGATGCAATCTATCATTCAATTCTTTAAGCCTATAATTTTAATTTGCTGATAGATCCTTGGAGATTCTAAAAAGCAAAAAACTTATTTTAACAAGTATAAGTTTATGTACTCAGTTTTGAACCATATTCCAAGTGTTAGAGATAGTGATACTACTCGACTGACAAAAATTGAATAGGTAGGCTAGAATTAAAGTTTGTGATCCAGTAGATAGAAATCAAATGGTTCAACTATTAATTAGGCTATTGATCTGTAGATAATCAGAAATATAAAATTAAATATCGTTCTTCACGGTATCTATTAGTAAGAGCAGTCCGTAAAATTTGAAAATCCTATGCTTTTTTCCAAGTTCCACCTACAATTATTTCACTGAAGACGTTACTACGCAGGAATTAGGACTATAGGTGGCTTACTAGATGAAATGAGTTAAAAAAGTCAACTGTGATGGAGAAGATTTGTAGCTCAGGTGATATCCTACACTGAATAGCTGGGTACTTACATTTCTCAGATATCAAAGATTTAATTTTCATATAAAATCTTAGGTTTGAAAAGCACACATAAATAATGAGTGTTAACGAACACTTAGACCTGAAAGGATGAATTTTAGATGTTTGTCATTAGTCATTTAATAATCTATTATAGCGTAAAACACCTCATTGGTAGAAAAGAATTCAACAATACTGTGATAACAAGGACACTATCATTGCTACTATACTTCCGGATATTTTCTATGCATCTATTTAAAAATTAACTACTGTGAACTTCTTGTGCTATAATTCGACTGCACGTAATCATGAATAAGCTACGGTAGTCATGATCCAGTTACAAAAAGATAGAAACAGTCAGTCAAAAACAAAGTAGGACTTGGAACAAATGCACACCGTGTCTCACCAGTGACTAACTTGCGGGGGATTTGTAGAGTCTTGGTGGAAAGCTGTAACTCGCGGATTTCAACCATGACAGGCGTTACCGTTGTTACTACATGACAATAGTGAGATATTACATATCAACATAAGTTATAGATTTGAACCACAGATTATTACCCAGTGGTATCTTGTTTGCCCTGCTTAGGACTACAGCAAATTAGCGAAGAGAACCCTAAAAACTAGGCGAGACAGTTATTCAATGCCTCCCGATTTGTAGCTGAAGTCAGTCTGTTATGAAGAAGAACAATTGGAACAAAAGTTTAAAAAAAACAATTATTTAGAAAATCCTTGGAAATGTTAAGTGATATTTTTAAAACGATGAAAATAGACTTTTCAAAAACTTACACAAGATAAAACACCTAGAACACGTATATTTAGATGGCTGCCAATAGCCCATCGAATTATCCTCAGAAGCAGTTCGAATGGTACAACTGATATATGTGTTGACTTGGATGTAAAAAAAGAGGGGTAGAAGGTAATGATAATGACTGAATTAAAATTCAACGATGTCAAGTGATTTTAGAAAAAAAAAGCAAAATGGCATCACAATTATATAAATAAATTAATAATGATTATATATATATATATAATTACTTTGGATTCATAACAATAGTGGTTAAGATGAAAGGTTGCTAAATAAAAAGTCATATTAATAGATGGGTTAAATGAATTAAGTACGAATATATTCCATCGTGGTATTGCAAGAGCGAGGAAACAGACTAGGAGTTTGATTCTTAAACATTGATTTAACTTTGATCGTTCAACAAAATGACTTTAAAGTTAACATTAAGATCTTTTTTATCACCACCAGAATTCAATTGATAAAACTACTCATGAACAAACTGGTGATTATTGACCAGTGACAAATGGAGAAAACGTTTTCTTGGTAGGAAATAATGAAATACAATTTCAACAGAAAGAGGAAAGATACTTGCAAATGATATTCAGAAATGCTAAAACTGTATGATATGGTCGGAAAAAACTCAATCAATGTGTGAGGACGGCTCCCGGATGAACTCAAGGAAGCTCAGAAAGACATTCCATCCAGTCATCTTTTGGGAGAGTATTCCAGAATCTCAACGTGCAGCTTCCTGATTGGGCAAATGCTAAAAACCACTGTATGCGGGTTGGATGTTATATAGCAAGAATCTAAGCTCCAGATACAACAACTGGCGACAGAGTCAAATGATCAAGATGTCATTTACCTTTGAACAAGTTGAAGCATTGGTGGGGTGTCAAGAAAACGTTACGAGCAGTTCCAGATTCGTATTCTAGAAACTCTAACTCAACAAATGAACCTAAGTCGAAAGGGACTTACAGATAATTCATTCAAATCCTATGTCGATCATATCATTAATTCTATCCACGAGTTTCATTTTGATGGTTTGTCTGGTGTTACATTTGAACCGTGGTTCAAGAAATATGAAGATATTTTTAAGGTCGACTTAGAAAAGTTTGATGATGCCGCAAAGGTCAGAGTACTACTTAGCAAACTTGGCATAGCTGAACATGAACGCTACACCAACTTCATTGTCCCCAAGAATCTAGGAGACCTTTCTGTTGATGCAACGGTAGTAACTTTGTGGCGAATCTTCGGCAAACAGTCATCTTTGTTCAAAATTCGTTACCAATTCACTTTGCATTATTTGTTTGAATCTTCCCATTGATGTTTAGGACTGCAACTGATGAATCTCTTATTGATATATGTGCATCCTCTGCGGATCATCACGATATTGTCTTAAGTCACAAGTATTATAAGCAAAGACGGATGGTAGCTAGCAGTGAAACCCCATTGTGCAAGTTGATGACTGTCAGGATTCATTAGCTAAGTGGATAACGCGATGGCGTTTGGAGCGAACGGTACTGGGTTGGAGTCCCTGAGTGAACATCAACTGTGAGATACAGGTACACTCATCTGATGAATCCCAAATAGGACGAAACGGGCGTCCTGAATTTCACTGCTTGTCTTGTTTTTTTATGTAGCTTGTAGTCACCTGAAGATGCTCGACATCAGAACCAAGATTCTGAGTAAACCTAAACAATGTTCAAATATAGCGCTACAAGTGTAGTGAATGAGAACACAGGTGAGGACAACCGATTACGTACTTAGCACAAATTACAAAGTTGCTTGATAAAATACAAAAAACATACTCTGATACTCTATTTGTAAAATGCTCTTTAATTTTCTCAGGCTTTATTGTTCCTGGATTTCCACACCAACTGCTTTCTGTTTCTGTTCTTCTCTTCTCGATCTTCTCAATCTTCTGCTGCCAGATATTCTATTCCTGGCTCACGATATATACTACTTATGTCGATATAAGTAACCCACACCACACAAGAAGTGGCCAGTGAATGTCAGAGATTGGTGGACTAGAAACATGACACATCTATGGTTAAAAACAGAGGCCGGCAACTATAACTTTCTTAACTGAAAGAGTCTTCTGGCTGTACATTTCAGTCCGCCTTATCTTTTCATCCCTTCTCTTCCTACTTTCATTATTTTGTGTGGCGCATATGTATCTGGTGCTCTTTTGTACCAATATATATGTGTTTAAATAAATAAATAATAAATAATACCATTGTGGTCGCAGCAGATGAGTCAAATTATGGAATTGGAGTAGTGATTTCACATATCTCCCTAGATTGATCAGAGATAGCGGTTGCCCACGCTGCACGATTACTGACGAAGACAAGAAGGGACTATAGTCGGATGGAGAAGGAAGCCCTCTCTATTATCTTTGCTGTGAAGATGTTTCACAAGATGTTATTCGACAGGCAATTTACGGTACTAAAAAACCACAAACCTCTACTGGCAGTTTTTGGATCTAGAAAGAGTATCTCTGTCTATACAGCAAACCGTCTACAACGATGGACAAAGACACTGATGTGCTGTGATTTCAAGATAAAGTGAAAACCGACAACGGATTTAAGGCAGGGAGATGTTAGATCAAGATTAGTTGGTTTCCATGCAAAAAAATAAAAAGTGCTTTCAGCTGCCGTAGAAGTTGAGGCCGAATTTCGTACAGTGTTGGCAGACGCAGTTTCCGGAGTGCCCAAATTAACCTGAAGGCTAAGTAATTAATATCAGTCAGTCAGTCAGCTACAACGTAGGACCAGGCACATTTATGCATCGGTCCAAGTTGCCATACCTCGTTAGCACAACAAGATGAACACCGGGTTCATAGAAGTAATTAATTTAGTGGTGGTAGTAGTATATAAATTATAGGTTGTATATAAGGATATAGTATAGGAAGGAAGAAAGTTATGAAGCAATTTTAATCTCAAGGTTTAAGGGAAGATAAAGAGTGTATACACCTACGCCATTGTGATCGATTCTGGGCCATATCACACAGTCTCCAACCATTGGTTACGATAGTCTCGCGGGTCGTAGTAATCGGTGTTAGTCACGCGGACTCCAACCAGGTAGTCTGCATCTACCAACATGGCTCAGACTAGAAGTTAGTGACTTCAAGCTCTAAGTAATTAATATAACTTATCTCAAACGTGAATGCAAAATCTATCAATATTTTGGACATTCTTTGAGCGACTGTTAGAGAAACTATTATCAGCTATTTAAGAACACTAAAAACTTTTGTTAATGAGGAAAAATTGCATGAATGAGCTTAAACTCTTATTGTTATGATTATACCGCGATATAAAGTTAAATATAGTATCACGAAAAAATATTTTTCACTCATCTTTAGCAAAGAACAGTTATTGAGGAACTTGCATGTTTACGCAACTTCGTGAATAATTCTTAAGGTGAAAAGCTAGTTAGTCACACCTCTAATTAGTTTGTAGAAAATCTTTAGTTGTCACCCATCCATAAGTAAGAACACCTGTAAACTTTGAAAATTACACCCAACATTAATCTTTTTTACGCCGCAACATACTCAACAATTATTGGGAGGCTATTTGTTAAGTCATGTATAGTTATAATGTTGCTCGTCATCCCCGATTAAGGCTGATTCATCGATTTAGAAAAATTCAAATAACCGGAGAGAACAAGTTAGTAATAAACATAAATGGTAAATTTGTCCTACTATTTGCCTTGATTTCGTCTCAACCAGGTAAGTCAAATATGATGTTATGTTGCACCAATACAAGAAACATTATTGGTATTGAAATACTTACGGAGCTACACTTGTGCATCGGTTGTAGATAGAAACCATTGTACCCAGAATCGTGACGTATGCATTTTGTGAATGCATTACACAAATCGGCTTCTTCTCTAGATATTTTGACTGTCAAGTGGAATAAAATAAAAAAATTCAGGAAATGAGAAGAAATTGTTTTAGCAAATTATGTGGGATTAAAAGAAAAAACGTGATATGGTCAGTACTGGATGTTAATTATGTGTCTTGAACCAATAACGACAACTCCTAGCTTCGATTTAGACAAGTGCATACAGTGCCCCCAAATGCCCTGGTACGGTCGAGAGTGAGGAAAGTCCGCCCTCTCTCTCCAAATGCTCTCACATGGCCACGCGTATATAGCCTCTGTCAGGGAAGTCCTACTCACTGCCTTCTCTCGATGGGGGTGTTGTTCACGAAATTGAGAGGACGAAAAGCGAATGTCCAGTGCTTTAACCGGGTTGGTGGACACGGCGCGTCCACTTAGGGGAGTTGGAAAACCCTGATTCCAAAACCAATGGTGTACATGGGCTCCAGTATCCTGAGAGAACAAATGGCGTATGAATCAATCGTTGGTCACCGGCTACCATGGGACTGTATCTCCTTACGATGCCCCACTGCCTTGTGGATCAGACCTTTAGGTCAAAAGCTCCGGGTGTGGCCCCCTAAGAAAGTTACCTGCTTCAGTTTGGGCACCTGGGCAGTACCACAGCCCTCACACAAATCGAATGAGATTTGTGCGGCGCATATGTATCTGGTGCTTTCTTGTACCAATATTTATGTGTTTAAATAAATTAAATAAAATAGTGCATACAGTTATTATCTTTCATCCGCGAATACTCAAGAAGATAAATCTCCTAAGGAAGATCGGTTTGATATAAACGAAAGATTTGTTAAACCACATGCACATAAATATATATACAAGGACCTTTTATATAGAGCAAACAGTTGGCGGATTAAAGAAACTACTGGTTGATAGCCAGTATGTGGTTTTTAAGGATATGACACTCTTAACAAATACAAACCATGAACAGTATATGTTCAAACCGGGAGTTTAGCCTTTTAAAACCTGATACTGCATTTCGTCATCAACACAGATTTCAGACTAGAAGTTGCAATATTTAATACCTCAATCGGAAACACTGTTGAATGAATATCTAACTAAAATACAAATAATTGGAAACCGAAAGATTCTTATTTTCTATTATTAATTCCCACATTACGAATAGTGAATAAATCAGATGTCAGAACTAAAATCCTCTGGGAAACAAAGAACTAAGCAATCGATAATACAATGACTGGAATGCAGTTTGTGCATTGGAAAGGAGTGAGCCCAAGAAATAAATGATCAGTGTAGCAGTCAACAGGAACTCTGTAAAGAAATCTTGTGCTATTTTTGGATCCATATAGACAAGACTGTTCAAATCCATGGACATACAAATCTTTATTACTTGAATGTTCGCTTTGTGATAATCATACAAGAAAATAAAAAGTGCAAATCCAGGGAATCGTTAATTAGGTACTTGTAGTATCGGTTGATATGTGTAGCGCATATGCCTCATTCTAACTTCTGGACAAGTCAATTCACCTATCCATCACGAGTCATGTTTTCACCTTGTTAATTATTCACTTATTAACCCCAACCATTTTTATATGAGCGTAGGTGTGTGTACACTTCTTACCCTATTTATCACATGCCTGTCATTTATTCTCCCGACCGTTGCTGCTACCTTGACGTGGTGGTTGGGCTTGCTTATCGTGGTGAACCAATCGACCTATACTGGCTGGAACAATCGTTCCTTAAGGTCCTACCATACCAGACAGGTCGGTTGAAGAGCGGTAAGACTAAAAGCAGCAAACCCAAGGTCCGAAGGCGAAGTCGTACAGCTGACTGTACAGAGGTGTGACGGCAGTAAGGTGTTTCCTTCAGACAACCAGCATAACAGCGATGCTGCCTTCCTACAATGATGGGTGGGGTTAGAAAAGGTCGACCCTAAAAATACACACCTCGCCTTATCCCACGGATTTTCGTCTCCGTCAAAAATCCCCCACAAAAAGGCCTTGCGTGGCCTGCTTCAAGCAGTTTTCTCATGGGCTCTGTGGTCACGCTCTCAGGTCGTTAAGACCAACATTAATCGAACTTTCTTTTCAAGTCCCTCAAGAAATACCCTTCCACGGTGTGGGCAGCCGGGAAGTGATATCAGCCCTCATACCCGTACCAGCACACGAGACCAAGACGGTTGGCTTACCCACCATCTCCAATGCGTGTCATTTTTGTTTCGCTCGCTGATATTTACTCACGTGCTTAACTTTCTGACCTGCGTCATTTGTCAATAGAAAGGTAGCTGCCGCTTCTCTTTGCCTTCTAATTTTATGCACCGTTAAGATTTGTATTATAACGGTTATTGAGGTGAACGATAAGCGAAGCACGGCACTACATACTGAACAGAAACGGGATAGATGTAATTTATAGAAAAGTATCAAACAAAGTAGTGAGAATGAAAACTTGGTATTTCCAACTGCACATGATAAAATCCGACCTAAAATAAAGGGTTACAGTCACTGGAATTCGTTCACCGTACTTAATATCTTTGACTAAAAGGCCTGTATTAAATCTTTTGAATCTACTATTACAGACGTTTGGCGAATAATTAAAGCAGCTACCGTACAACTAAACATTTCATGAAGTTTTCAGATTGAATTTGTGGAGATTGTTGGATTTCTTTGAAATTATTAGCCGATTACTGTTAGATCGTCATTGAAAATGTGGAACCACTGGAAGGCCATTTAGTCATAGTGTGGGACTCCTAAGCAGTTGTATTTTAATATGACAATGATAGGATACAATTTCACTAAGCCTACTTCAAATTCGATTTATTGATTGTGCCTTGTCAAATTCTAATCTATATGGGATTGGTAGTAATTCGTCAAACTTTCAAATTCATGTCTAGCATTGCTGTAAACAGGGATTCTAATAATCTCTTAAGATTTTATATCTGCACAGCACCGGGAGAAGTGGGAAATTATTCAGAATACCTCAGGACTTGGTGTTTACCACATCATTTCAGCACACTTTATGAGTACTATTGGTAAGGAAGCCTGCAATTTGTTAGGGAGTTTTGTATTTCTAAATCTAATCTACACTAAGTCACGAAACGTTAGAAAATCTAATTTTTCTACTCATTGGGATATTACAAATATATTATTTATCTGATCTACATCCGTTTGACAAAATAAAAAGATTACTAACCGATCATTTTCATGTGAAAATGCACAGTTCAGCAAATTAGTTCGGGCTCTAAATAAGACGATCAGAGATTTCCTACAAATGTTTTCGATGGAGGACTCTCAGTGCGATTTAAGTGAACAAATAAAGATCTAAATTCGCCACCGCATGATTGTTAGGATAAATGATCCTAAACTGTAGATGCAACTTTCACAAATTACAAAAGTAAACAAACCCACTAACAGCATTCAGCCCTTCCAAAAGTGACCATTCTAAGCTTTATATATTCTCTTCTCGAAGTATGTTTGTGATCCTAAGTGGTTAAATATTAAAGAGCTTTATATGGTTCAATTTATTAATGCACTCGACTATTGTGTTCTTAGTGGTAGTCCTTTTATTAGACTTTTTCCCTTTGGTAAACATACAGGTAAAATTCTTCGTTTGCCCAATACTACATAGAATACCGTTGCTATGTTTCCTAGGCCTGACATTTTGGCGTGGGTTAGCTATTGGTTTCTGCAATCTTTCAAATCTAGTTTTAACTATTTGATTCAAATCTCACTTTTTAAACCAAGATTTGTGCAGCCGTATACCATTATCTCTCATAGATGTGGTGTATCTCTTGGTACATAAACTTCTACAATAATAGAAATTTACTAGTCAAGGTATTCAGTTATATAGTTTTAGTTCTACCAATCAATGAAAAGCGATCAATACACAGTCGCCATTACAGTCAGTCTCAGTAACCGCAGTCGGTGATCTATGGTCAGTAGATGTGATGAGACCTTTTACAAAGACAGCGAGTGGTAACCATTATTTGCTAGTAATGACGGGACATGCTACACGTTGGGTAGACGCCGTACCCATTGCAGACCAGCCGAGATAAATGGTGATCGAAGTAGTAATCCGGTATACTGTAACGTGTCACGGAATACCGAAGATTATCTCGGAAGTTACGCTTGTACCAACCGGTTGTTGAGCACTCCGTTTACTTGATAACTTAAACTAATTCGCTACACTTTTTCCAAAGTATTGTTAACTAACACACTGACTACTCATTTAGTCTTTAGGTGTATATTTCACCGGCGTTGTGATACAAAATTCTTTTTCATTTTATCAGTAGAAAATTAGGTTATTTTCTACAGTTAATATTTAATGAGGTCTGATCTTGCAGTCTTTCCATCTGTATAACACTACTAAATACATATGTGTGTGGGTAGAAATGTAGACGGTAGATAGTTGGATTATTCTGCTTCCCATTATCACAAAACAAGACAGTCTTATGTCATTTGCACATCGATATTTCCAGCCCTAAAACGTTTTTATGAATTTAAAATAGTTTAACGAATTACTATTAAACAAAAATAGACTAAAACTTTGACAAGGCACAATCGAAAAGTTGGATTCGAAGTATTTGTCCAGCAATCCAAGTTTCGCAATGAAAACACAAACATGTAGCCAACGTGTAGTAGATGTGGTGACAAATTAATACAGTTACTGTACAATCGAAAATTTCATATTGTTTTAGTCTGTTATAATGATACGACACAATTTTATCCTAGCTGAGATAAATCCCAAGAAAACTCGACTGCCAAGACTATGAATGTGAGTCTGCGCCGGAGAAAGTATGAGTTAGGTTATCTAGCACGCAGCAATTAGTTGTTTAAACTGAGACCTAAACGACGGACAAGGATAAAGACACTTATACATTCTATAGTTCGCTTCGGTAGTGAAAATCCTTCGCAAAGCCAAGGATCGAGAGGCCGAATCACAGAGCTAGTGAGAACTTGAACATATGATGGTGCAAAAATTGGGTTTAATTTCTCCAAATCTAGTCCCATATTATAACTCTCACCTTAATTTTCTAAACATGGACTCCCGAATATGTTGATTCTACGGTAGTGCTAGATAATAATACCCTACTTATTTCTTTAAAGAAGTAACGCCATGTCAAAATACGCCTATACTTAGAGAATAATGTATTCGTGAATAAAAGTATTATGTTGATGAGATTCTCATTCACAAGTGTATGTCGGAAGCATAGACTTGAGAGTCTGTTCACTATCTAAATGTGATTATGCATGTTGAATGAAAAATATTTGAGTATGATCAAACAAGTGGTTTGTTTTAGTTCAGAAAAGCCTCACAGAGAAAAATGAATATATAAACAGTTCACATATTTGTACGCTTACTTAGCGGGTTATGTCGATTCGATTCATTTATACATTTACTATAGAGGGAACTGGGTGTTTCCCTATCATTATGAATTGCACTATGAATGGAAGAGTCGGAATCTTCGTCCCCATCATCCTGATCATCTGAACAACAACCTGAAGACATAACCAACACAAACACCAAAACACTACAGGCAGTTGTAACGTTTAGCCCTTGGTAAGTGTGTATCTAGTCTGGAGGTAACTTGTATGGTGGTGGAGTGTTAGGAGCAGCAAATGAGATAACCTAGGAGAAAAAGGAACAAAACAAAAAGTGAGCTAAAACTCAATACATATAATCCACTTGCATTTATTAACGAAAGCAGCTGATAATATCACAGATCGCATGAGCACAAGACTTCGGCAACTTGATAGACGACATATCGACAGTTTAAAGCCGCGCTAAGACTATACTTGTGTTCTGATTGGCTCTTTTTTTATGCTCCCTGCAATGTCCCACATTGAAGCATCTTGACATTGTTAATTGTTCCCTTTAAGTAAATGATTATTGCCACCGTTTTCATTCTGAAACAACACACACTTATTTGTTTCAGACTGTAATGGTTTCATTACACAACTACTCTGTTTATTTTAGGTCGGATTTTATCATGTGCAGTTGGAAATACCAAGTTTTCATTCTCACTACTTTGTTTGATACTTTTCTATAAATTACATCTATCCCGTTTCTGTTCAGTATGTAGTGCCGTGCTTCGCTTATCGTTCACCTCAATAACCGTTATAATACAAATCTTAACGGTGCATAAAATTAGAAGGCAAAGAGAAGCGGCAGCTACCTTTCTATTGACAAATGACGCAGGTCAGAAAGTTAAGCACGTGAGTAAATATCAGCGAGCGAAACAAAAATGACACGCATTGGAGATGGTGGGTAAGCCAACTCGCTCTCATCAAGCGTTAATCAATATTTATAGTCAGACAAGAATAAATGACAGCCAGTCACAACGTAGAACTTCGTACGTACATACATCAGTTCGAGTTGCCATACCACATTCAAATCCCATAGTGGTAGAAGTAGTAGAAGTATAATCAGAAATCCAAAAGATTAGGGTTTGAAGAAATTATTGAAGGAGTATAGTACAGTGAAATAAATTTGGAAAGAGAAAAAGATAAAGACATGAGGAATTCAGAAGATTAGAATTTGGTAGAACACAAAGAGTGGGTGCACCTTCGCCACTGCAAACGATTTTGAGCCATGTCATTCAACGTCTCTAACCATCGGTTGCTATCATCTCCCGAATCCCAACCAGGTAGTATACACCTACCAACATGGCCCAGTCCACTTGTCAGTGACTTCATTGATTTGTGCCACGTTTTGGTCTGGCCGCCCCTAGCTTTCTTCCAACCTACTCCTACACCATAGAACATTGCACGTCGTGGCAATCGGTGGTTGGGCGTTCGTAACACTTGTCCCAGCCATCTCAACTGATGAAGTTGCACTGCTTCATCAGTCGACTTACCATCCTTACCTAGTATCCGTTTCCTAACAACTGCATTACTTACCCGGTGGTCTCAGGATATACGAGCAGTGCTTCGGAGACACCTGTGATTGAATACTAGCAGCCTACGAATATCCTCTACTCTTACCGGCCATGTTTCACCGCTATAAAGTAGAACGGAACGAACTGCTGCACAGTAAACCCGTCCTTTGGTTGCTAGATGGATATCTCGCCCACGCCATAAATGGCGCAAGTTGGCGAAAGCTAGACGAGCCTTCTGTATCCGTGCTAAGATTTCGTCAAACACCAGACCACAAGGGCTGATGAGACTCCTAAGATAAGTGAAGCGGTCAACACGCTCAATTATTTCACTTTCTATCATTAGTTCAGGTGCCGATGCAACCCAATCCTGAAGTAACATTTTGCACTTCGAGGGAGAGAATCGCATTCCGAACATGCCTGCATTGTTGCTTATAGTGGTCAGAAGACTCTGCATTTTGTCAGCGTCTTCACCAAACAGAACTATATTATTGGCGTAATAGTCTTCAATTACCAGGCAGTGATCACACAACCGAAGCCTGCCAACAAATTGCGGACAAACTTTAATGCACTTCAGCAGGAACAAAAAGTCATTTTGGATTTCTTCATGATCTATTCAAGCACCGACTGATCGTACTCTGAAATTTCGCTACATGGTTTTCGTTGGGATATGTCTTCTGTTCCAGTGATGTTAATACCAATTTACATTTTGTTTATCATAATCTGCAAAACCTATTGGGGTTTAATAGTTCCGTTTAAAAAGGGAAATCTCCATGTCTCTTATTGTAATTGAATCCCTGACAACTTTATGATTGAACTGAAGAAGTTGAGAAAAAGGTTCTTTGTTCACCAGAACGTTTATACTATTTGCAACAATCAAGCAGTATTTATCAATATTTAAGGCCTTTGTCGAGAAATGGGATTGGAAACTGAACTGTTTCGCAATTTGGAAAATAACAATTGCTTATGGCAGGTTCTCTTAAAAAGAAATTCTTTGTTCAGTCTGATACGCCTACTGACCTTAAGGTCAAAGATCAGCCTTTGGGAGATTGGAAACAATTATTTTACCGTTGTAGCAGCACATTCGCACAGACATCCACCCGATGTTATCAGTATGATTTTGTAATCAGCAGTTATAACACGGATGCAATAACAGACCTAAAATTCACTCGGTGGCGTGAGAGATTAGCGAGGTCATTGCAACCTTTTAAAGGTCGATATAATAGAATGCCGGCTGCCTTATTCAAATATGGTGGTTTAGACATTTTTAGTGACCAGTTTATCTGATTCCGAATCGATCTCATGATGATGCTAACTAAATATACATGGAATAAAGCCATAGACAGTTATAGTGATTGCAAGTTTTTTTCGTATATGTTACAGGAAGCATGCCATTTTATAAGGAAGATCAAAATGTGAAAAACGTTACAGGGTTTACTATAATAACTTCCCTTCATGGATTTAAATAAAGTCAGAACAAATATTGATGCAGAATAATATGAATTCATTATATTTCGTGGTTTCTCGTCAGTTGCTTACAACCAAATATGTATCAGAATTTCAGCATTGAGATAATAAATAGTGTGGAACAATTGACATAAGTGAATGTAAAGGGTTGGAATGACAAAAAGTTATCAATGATAACTATATATGTGCAAGAACAGGTCAGAGGTTTTAGACGTTAGAATCAAGGAAACATAAAGGATGGGTGGTGTGATAGTTGAGTGAAGTTCAGAGACGTATAAGATAAATTGTGTCATAATTTTAAAGGTTATGAAGGATTCATGGAATTAGAAACAAAAAGGATGGGTTACGTAATAATTGAATAAAAGTTGGAGAGTTCATATAATTTAGGAGAAACAAATGAGTGGAAATGTGTGAGTGAAAGGGTGGTTTAAGAATTGGGTAATGGAAGAGGAATATAGAACAAACCAAATATTAACCGAAATAAAACTAATAACCAAAAAAAAACTAAAACAAAAAATGTGGGTTATCAGGGTAGTAAAAGTTTATGACGGTCGAGCTATTGCACTGTTGAGAGCCCTGGTCCCTCGCAGCCTCGGTTTATTTGGAACATGCTCATGTCAAATGTTCCACACTATTTGTTATCTCAATACTAAAATTCTAATATATGTTTGGTTTTAAGCAGCTGACGAGAAACCACGAAATAAAATAAATTCATATTATTCTGTATCAATATTTGTTCTGACTTTATTTACTGTAATAAGTATCCCAGTTAGGTCGATATGTTATATGACATAGGAACAGGGTAGTTAAGTTGAGTACACAAGATTATGAATAATGTTATGATCAATCGTATCATAAAGCAGGTGTAAGCCGTTCTAATAGATATGATCAACGATTTACAGCATGAGTTTGCCGATAAGATGTTACCTGAGTAAGGATGTTAAATAGATCATGAAAGTGAGAATTTTCGACAGAACATTCACGCAGAGAAAGTAACGGGTTAATAGTTAAGTTTTTTTGTGCTGGTAATCTACTATGAATGCACAGTCGTTTTAATCTGTTTAGAAGTGGCAGGTCGTACAAACTGTTACATTGGCGAACATGCATCTGTCTCAACTACGTTTTTGCGTTACATTTGTGATGGAAGAAAAACGAGCAGCAGAATGAACAACAAAATGGGGTTGATAAACCTAGATTTTTAGTTTTTGCAATGGGAGGTGAGTGGGCAGAACTCGAAATAGTCAATAAAGGAACTTTACATAAACCATATTAACCAAACGCAAAGTGTGAATAACTGTAACGAGAGAACAGGCCTTTTTTTAATGGAAGGCTGAAGTGCTAAGTGGAATAAATATTTACCGGATTTGAGAAACTAACAATGACCTTAGTTGTTTGAATTTCCATGTGATTTTATCCCTATAGTCTTTATTTGTTTAATATTTCTTTTCGTTGTTATGGAGTTCCAACTGTTCGGTCTATGCTGAAGTGTCTGAAAATGCATGTGATAGAACGACTTGGTAAAGCAGCGAAGCCAATATGAAGTAGACAACGCGAGTCTGACAAGAATCGAACATAGGAGGATATCTTCAATGTCATTGAGTGGTTGGGTGATGGCGTAATCTGATTTAACCAGATAGGGTGGTTGATTACTTCTGATTTTATGGAACATGAGTTCTACAGTCAAAGAAGACCTTCAATGCACACTTTCACGGCTTGCTTATGGAACTTAATCAGATGTCCTTTGCAACACCCTTACTAAGGACCTAATGGAGAACTACAGAGAGTAGCAAAATACTTCATAATTAAAAGGAATGGTAGGAAAGAGGCACTTTTAGTTGATGCTCTTAAAACTGACTACGTAGATACTGAGCAGCATTGTGAGCACTGTGTGAGGTAAGATATATATCCGAAAAATTAGCTTGAATGAGCCTAACATCACAAAAGGAGTGAGGGTGGAGTTGCTGACTAGCAAGCATTGAAGGTGAACGCGATGACTTAAGTCCACCCATGTTTGTGGAGCAGAACACTTTGTTTGTATCAGGCTCAGTGTGGTTGAGAACAAGTCAATCAATTTGTGATATTGAGGTTGTTCTCCTACACTCACCAATCAGACACATGTTTCTAATTTTATGTTGGATTAGCTATTCTACTAAGACAACCTATGACATGCTAACTTGGACATTTACATTAAAATAGTGTGGTAGGCATCAAATGGAAAAAAGAAAAAAAAAACAACAAAGGATATAGTTATTAGTTTTATTAACACTTTACTATCTATATGCACTCTCTGTTCTGATAAACAGCCTTCCTTATTTAAACCTTGACTTCCCTTCCTCCATTTCAACTTATTTCACCCTGTTAAATATCACATCTCATTGTTCTTTATTACTGCACTCTTTCATCTGGAGCCACCGATCACATCTCACTCTAGCGACAAGAGCTAGTATGACAAGAGTTAACAATCAAATAGAATATGTTGATGGCATCTGTGAGAATATTACATGAGAAGAAATCATCCCAGTCTGAGAGTTTGATCAGTGAGAGCAAGAGGTCCCAGTCTGCATGCTTATAGTCTCTATAATTGCAGGTTCTTTGAATTGGTCGGTTGTAGAAGGGATAGATAGGGAGAATACAGGCTACTATCATGTGATCACTGCTTTCAAACTCGTCGTATACTTGTACAGATTGGGGGATGATATATCTACTAAATATTAGATCAAGTGTATTATCACCACTTGTTGGGGTACGAACCCACTGTGACCAGCAGTACAGGTTAAGGATTGATAAAAATTTATCACTGCTGGACTGACAACTACCGGTACTCCAGTTAGTCCCAGGATAATTGACATCGCCAGTGATAATCTTAGTGTTATGTAGTAGCGAAGTACGGGTAACTAGATTATCTATATCTATATTCATCTTATTGTAAGCTTCATTTTGACATATTGATTATTATTGTATGATTTACTGTTCCTAAGTTATGCTCAGTTTATTGATTATTGTCTCCCACGCTTACAGCCTCATTTGGCCTGGTTTTGTACAAATATAATTTTCTATTTTATGGTGTGGTGTGGTCTGCCTGTCTGGTATATAGATAAAGTATGTTTGAAATAAACGATTCGCATTACAGCAGCTGCTATTGGTGTTTTTGGACTCAAGTGGACGGGTTAGGCGGATAAGGACCAATAAGGACATTAGATTACTCATATTGATCGAACGTCATTGTCCCAGTGTGAAGGTCGTAGAAGGCGTATTCTATTGGTGGATCATTTACGCGGATTACGTCCTTGTTAAATTCGTAAGGTCATAACAAATCAGCGACGACCTTGATCAAGTCATAACAATTGGCTACCGCCTAGGTCAAAAACATAACACTTAGCACTGAAGTAGCAGCTGTCTACCTCTGCATCAAGATGATAGTATTTCGGTTCTTCACTGCCATGAAGAGATGAATTTGGGAAACGCTGGTAATATAGGACATCTGAGTATTCTCACGAGACCTTAAGTCAAGTTAAGTAAAGCTAAACAAATGAGAACTGCAAAAAGAGGTTTGCTTGTCGTAAATCAGACAGCTTTTCGATGTAAATCGCGAAACTATTTTGGGAAAAGGGGTTCATCGGTCATCTATCCTCATTCAGTTAGATCTATTATGTGCTCCTATAATAAAAACAAACAAACTAGTCAGTTCGTCAGCAAAACGTGTAAGCTATCATAAATAGGCTCCTATGACAGGGTGGCTGGTGTGGGAGCTCCAATGAATTACGAAACTGTCCAGACTTCCCTGTGTAACCAGAACAACCAAGGACTTATCTGGTTATGTTTAGTAAGAAGACGGTGTATGAGGCAAAGGTTTAACTATATGTGATCATTCAGCCATGTACAATAATATTGAATTCATATATATATATATATATATATATATATATATATATATATATATCCTTTATAATGAAAATTACTAAATCGAAAGGCTGATGCGAACGATTCGACTTACGTCGATCACTCTCCAGTAGTAAGAATGAAAATCTGGCTGAAGATCACTCTTATTTTATTGTATGTTGTATTCCTCCGGTTACACCCTATACTAGACATAAAGAGAGTAGCTACCTGACCACATGTGGGGAATATACATTAGTATACATTAGTATAGACCGCACAACTTTAGGACTTGTCAAATACCTCCAACTATGGTGATGCTGCAGAAGACTACCTCAAAAATCTGTTTATTCATCTCTTGTTAAAAAATTTAAACAATTAAAACGCATATTTAACACATATTGATGACTCCGTCTTTAGATTGAGGAACTGAGTGTTAATTGTACCAAAACGTTTTTCAGGAAATAGAGGGGTAACTAAATTCGGTCTTTGCTTCAAGTTACCAATGCATAAATGTTGGTTTCATGCGTCTGCAATTATACAATTTAGTTTGAACGATTGTTATTAGTTCGCCAATTTGAACGTTTTCACTTTGAAGGTCGTTCCGTAACTCCAGTGAAACCAGTTTTCAAAGACATGCCTCGAGGTCGCAGTGTTAAACGTGGTTTCCGCCCGTCTCATACGTCGGTCCAAACAATGCTTGTTACAAGCCATGGTGAATGTGCTGCCACAAATAAAGATGTAATTATTTTTGTTTTCATTTCCAGATCTCAGTGCTGTTTGTCTTCAGCAAATTCTTTAGCTGTATTTCTACCGTGTAATTTGATCTGATTTTTGACTTTTTGATTGCATCTAAGTCTCATTGCTTTCTTAAAGGAGTAAACATTGTACTTCATATGCAGTGTAGCACGAAGACTTTGAGGTTACCATGGCGTCATTTTCCCCCAAACTAGAGGATTTAGTTTTTATTCAAAATTTCAGCTTTATGCTTTTAATTGCTGCGAAGATCCGTTGCCTCACGTTATTCATAGTCCTACGAATTCTGCATTTTGTATTACGGTGAAATTATGATATATATATATATATATATATATATATATATATATATACTTGGATTGACGTACGTCGACTGAAAATCTGCAAGATAGGCCTAAGACTTATACTAATTATAGCGGTCCATGGCTAGCGTTCAGTTAATTTTTTGCAAAACTTGTTTGCTTAAATTGCAGGAAGAAATGAACGAACTTGAGGAAACCAAAGCATCAAAATCTAATCCACCTAAATCCAGTTCCAGTAAAAAGTCAGATGAATGTGGAGGAGAAGTTTATGAAGACGATGAGGAGCTTGAAGATTTCGAGTTGGAAAACAATGCCACTGGGAGACGTCTGGTCGAGGGTGATATCGATGTGGATGATGCTGAAAGTGAAAGTGCAGAGGATGAACCTGTTGAAGAAGAACCCGAAGATACTCTAACGCCTGCTGAAAAAGCCTCACAAATTTGTCGCCTTCCTGCAAAAGAACTTTCTGCAGAAGAAACTCAACTGTTTCCTTTCCTAGAAAGTTCTTCAAATTCTTTAAAGGAGTCATATATTGCTGTCCGAAACCTTGCCGTAAGTTTTACATATAAATGTTTCCAATGACTTATTCTGCAAATAACGAGCCTTGTAATAACCTTTGTTTTATTTTTTTCGTAACAATGAAAACATTTAAGACCAGAGCATAACGGCGAAATTGCATATACCTTTATCTTGTTATGAAAATAAGTTTCATGTTCTTATTTTATTATCTCAGAAAGTTCGACGATTGAAGATTTACTCCACTTTTCTGAAATATAAGTGGATTCATATTTTTAGATCTATTTATCTAGTTGTTATTTTCGTAAATAAATTGAGTTTAGCATAAACTTATTCAGTTCTTTTCATATTTTTATATCTGATGCTATTTGGTTGTCTTCTCAGGGGTGGTTAATTATATACATACGTTACAATACCCCAACTTTTTAGTTTATTATTTGGTTTTCACCCCTGACCATTGTAAACCTTTCTGACAATTGCATTGTTAAAGAACTTCGACGAGATGGATTTCCCTTATAAATTCGCATATCATACTCCTTGGATTAGTGATACAACAATCCCCGTTTTTAGAAACTTATTGAGAGTCACAATGCTTGACGTGCATTTTAAATCTTTAGCGTGAAATATGGCATATGTGGTTTAAACATTCATTTTGTCTAATCTTAGAGCAAGAAATGGTAGGCCATTTCCTATACTGTGGGAGCTATCTTTTTGAAAAGTACATATCTGATATGATTGTTCAAATATTAATGCTTAGAATGCACTTAACCAAAATGAATTCGCCAGTATATATATATATATTTTAATATTCGAACCAATAGTGTAGTATTTCCTAACATATTGAAAGAACTGGGGTGTCGATTTCCCATTGTTTATATTTGTAATGGCTATATGCCAGTACCATTTTTTTCAGTCTTTCTTATAGTTAAACATAAATCCTCCGTCATTACAAAACACCTAGGGAGCCCAGTTTTCTGAAGTTCAGATATAATTCAGGAGTATCATTTTCGTACATACCAATCTATGTTATTCAAGATTTCGACTATTAGAATTCGATCCTAGAAATCGCAAGGTTTGATTACTCAAGGTATCGTTTGCAGCAGCTTCAGTGTACATACTTCTTTTACTCTTCTTAGCTTAGTTACACTTTGCAAATTTTAGCACAGCTGTTATTACGTTTCGAGTGCCAGTGTGAACTGTTAGTGTTTAAACTGCTTCGTCAAATGTTTATATTTCTGTAGCGAGGGGTGTTTTTATTCCTTATTTGTAACACTAGGCTGTCTGGATTCGAGGTGGTGATCTGCAATTATGCATCATAAATTTTACTGCCAAGACAGCGTTTTAATACGATGACGTAGTACGTTTTTGTTACTTGGAAGCTTTATTCATCAAGGTGTCCTTTATTTAACGTGTTAATTTGTATTTTGAATCACGCCTTGGTCATATCTTCATATGAATTAAAGGACATCATAACTACTGTAACCTCTTTCTGAGTAATTTTCTTGTTTACAAAGTGTCTTAAGTTTTACTCTTCCAAAGCCCAATAAGATTTCTTGTCTTGTGCCCTGACTGAAAAATAACACCAAATTTTTAAAATGATAACATAGTATAGTGCTTTTTAGGTGGTGACTTCCGGTTCAGATTTTTCTGTGGATTGGTATTTAATCTTATATTGGAAATTAAATGATAATTGTATTTATGCTGAAAATTGTTTTGGACAATAAATTCTTTCATAGTGTTTGATGTGGTCAGAAGACTCGTGTACACAGGTTACGCCTAATAGGCTATTTATATACGTGGTGAATAATATGTCAGTCGAAAATCTACGGGTGATGATCGATTCTGGTTTGACTGCTCCTTTACCAGTACACCAAGGATCTAACTCGTCTGCTTCTTCTGTTTGTGAGGAAAATAGTTCTTTTGTCGGTCGCGTCAGACATAGCAAAGAGCTTTCTCGATCTCTTCAACGCCATCTAACAAGTTTAACTCTCCCCAGCAATTACTCACCCTGGGGTACGCCTACTGCAAAAGCGAATTTGGAACGGATGACCTATTTAGTTGTTTTGTTCTTGGAAAGGTGAGAGGTATCTCCTTTTTATCCTTTAAAACCCATTTTGTGTGTATTTATGCTCTTACCAGTAATTCCTTTGGACTATGTTTTAAGTTACTTCTTGACTCCTAATCATAGTCCATGTAGTAACTCTGAATTTTTCCACGCATATGATTCATACCTTTTATCTAACCATTTTTCACGTTAATCGAATCCCCTGACTATATATAAATCCTGCCTACCTTATTAGCCATGCAAATTGGTCTATTGTTCACATACGACTTAGCTAGTGTGATATGTGACAAGATATTGTTCATGAAGCTACCGAAACAAAAATAAGTAAATATTTAACTTGAATTAAATCAGAAGTGTCAACAGGCCTGTTAGTGTACTGGCGATAAGTTTCACAAAATCTTATATAATCTAAGTTTGTTGCTAGCTGAAGCCAGGTTTTGGGATTAAGTGCGTTTCTCACATAGGTGGTATAGAAGTGTCACACAGCTTCTAGAAACTACTTTAAAACATTTAAAAATAGTCCTGCGTCAGAAAAATAGTAAACTGGTAGTTTTGTGGAACCTTACAAAATTAAATAGTATTTAAAAACCTATCCGATCACATTCTTCATTATACTGAATACCACTTAATTAATAATGTGGTTTTCGGGTTTTACTTACACATTGGTATGAATTTTAACTGATAAATAACATACAATAAATGCTTAACGTCCTCTCTTAGTTCTGTCAGCCTAAGTGACTTGTATCGTCTATTGGGGAAAAATAGTTTTTCTCAGAAAATTATTGGAAACTTCAAATTTTGTTATTAGTCTTCAAATGTAAAGTTTTCGACATTCTTTAAGAACTTAAAACTCTTTGAAACATCCGAATCAGTACGATGAGACCAATCGTCATCTTCGTGTTCTTTCAAACAAACGCGCGAACTGAATTAATGAAAAGTCTGTTTAAAATACAAGCGTGTCCTCTTCAAGATGTTCCTCCTTTGTGGCGAAAAAATTGTCCCACTTCCGTTTCCATTATTTAAAACGTCCCTAAAAGACTGGAATTTAGGCTCTTTGGCTGGTACGTCATTTGCTGTTTCAACATAATTGCATGCACAGACAACCATCTCTAATTTAGTTGAATAAAAGCAAATTGGCAATCGTTAAGTACAAGAGACTACAGAAAGTGGATGATCATCCTGATCTGATGTCGTCGTCGTAGTTCCTACGGCTCTTACTAAACTCCTTGACTCAGCTGAGAAGCTATCTTTTTTAATGTGTTATCTCCACTACTGTTTCTTACTATTTTATGAATTTCTCGAATTTTTATCAAGTTTAAAAATAAAATTTCATAGTCCAGTTAGTGTATTTGCTTAAAGGGTTATGTATTTTCAACCATGTAATAAAAAGTGTACCATAGATTGAAGTCTCTGATAGTATGGCAATTTAATTGTGTCTGCTAGCTTCACATAATATCATTTGTTTTGAAAACATCGCCATTCTAACATGTATCTAAAAATGTTAGATATTTTGAAGAATGTTTTTAAGATGATAATTAGAAAATAGAAGTAAATTAGTATTTTTTATATTCCTAAATAGTATTAAATAAGTAATCGTTAGTAAATAGGCCTTATAAGGTTTGATTAATGAGGAAATATTATGAGGTGTTCTGTTATGGTCACTGAGATTACCATAAAACATGGTAGTTTATGCTTCTTTGGAGGTTCTGATGACCTCCACGGACATTATTCAACATAAAAATAAGACAAGCGTATTACTAAAAATAGGGAGTATTTTTAACGGAAGAATGATGTGCCCTAAACTTCGTAAAATAAAGTATCTATGGCCAGTTTAAGGGCATATAAGTTAGACTATAGGTTCAATTTCGAGCTAACTGATGTATTCTGATAATAAACATCAATGTTTGTCACTAGATGTGGAAAGTAACCATAAAAAAATATCAGTAGGTGAACTATATGATAAATGTTAGATGAATTAATTAATCCAACTTACTTATAATGATGATTTACCTTTTTTCATTGGTTTTTCGTCTAGATATGGATATATCAACTTTGGCATATTTAAAATTATATCTCCACCCTTAACACATGTGAGCTCATCTCGTACCGCTGACCCTGCTACCACCGCAGGGTCGCCTATGGAAATATTGGACAAATCAGATGTCCAACTAACACCCAGAAGAGCTGCGGCTGAGAAAGCTCTAGCAGCAACACGTCGTGCTAACAATTCTCATTCCTCCAGTACATTACCAGTTAGTTCATCATCTACGTCACTGACAACTCCCCATTTCATTATAATTGGTGCTGGTATTTCTGGTCTAATTGCAGCAAGACAACTGACTTATTTTGGTGCCAAAGTTACCATTTTAGAATCTCGCGTATGTTTCAGTAACTACTTTCTGTGTTGTTTCTTTTCAACAATTACAATTACAATTACTTTAAATCATTCAGTTTTCTGTTGAATAAGTATATTTAATTTTAGTATGGGTTCAATTCGTAGTGTGGTTGTTGCTACTAGTTGGTTAGTTATCATCAAAGTAGAGTCTGGTACAGATAAGTGTTAACATAAGTTGCTATATACTGCGTTTTTTAGTGTTACCATAAATATCAACCTATGACAAATACAACCCATATTTTAAAACATTCTCCTCAAAACCTCTTCAATAATGGTAATAATAATCCCAAGACATAATCTGTTTATGTGCTTAATTTTTTCGTCACCCATTTTCTACATTTGAAAAAGTGATATAATTAATATTTATTTCTATATAACATGTGATTACACCAGTAGTCGTAACAAATTTCGAGGATTCAGTTTTACAATTAGATATTATTTTTAAGGTAGCAATATTTGAAATTACGTGCCACTTTTATTCTTCAGGATCGTGTTGGAGGTCGAATATGGACTTGTAGAAAAGGTGGATATCATGCTGAACTTGGGGCCATGGTTGTCACAGGTTTATGTGAGTATACAACCCCACATATGTCAAACTTTGTTCTTGCTTAAGTTTGCTTTAATTCAGTGTTTATTTTTTCACAATTTATAGAATCATTGTCTATTCAGGATTGGTTTTTATTACATACTGTATCATTCACTCTATAGCTGTGGTGATAACTCAACAGTGGTAAAGTCTCTGTGTGCTATATCTTATGATATCCGTCCGAATATCTGAGAGAATATGTTTCCATTAAGTGAAAGACACGGAACTGTAGTGAATGTTAGCAAATATAAAATCGGATCCCGTTTGTCTTTTCGTAATTGCTGAATACCAGTTTTTCTTAGACGAACTGTAATTGCTTGTCTGAAAACTTCGGTGGTCGCTTGCATCAAACCGGATCAACAGATTCATATAGATTGACGTCAACTTAAATTACAACTGGTGAATTGATGGTCGATGTTATCAATAATTGTCTAGTCTTTCTGCAGATGTGATAGATATTTTTGGGTTAATTCAGTTTTGCTAGGAAACTCTTGGTTTGGATTTTCTATTCGTAGTCATATTGTGGTTGTGCTACTTATGTTGACATATAAGTAGTATGTAACACCAATCAAAAAAGTAAAAAATATATATATTACCAATTTTTTGGTCTGTAACTATGTACAACCCCCTAAAAAAACTCAGTGAATAAACAGATTTCATCAGTTAGTCAAACACTAATATCTTAGTTTCTACCAATATCCGTTGTTCGAGTTATGTAATATGTGCTATCAATTAGTTTAATATAACAGTTATCATTAGCCATAGAGGTTAAAACATAAGCTGATTAATAGTATTTTCAAACCAGATTATTATATAGATGGCTAATCAATCTTTAGTTACAAATTTTTAATTTAAAGTCGTCTTTATTAAATTTGACTTAAAACATAAGTTATTCAACTTTTTGAACATTGGAAATTTAACCGAATTTCTAACAAATTAGTTTAGTTTAAATCCCTTTCGAATTAGTATACCAGTTGATTTGTCTGTTTCGCTCAATTTAAACAGCTTTATGTCAGTGTTTACTTTCATACTACTACTAATACTACTACTACTATTATTATTATTATTATTATTATTATTATTCTTATTATTATTCTTATCGATATAAAACATGACATATGATGTAAACTAACTTGATCGTCAAATATCATTAGAAAAAGACTATATTTTATTCACTTGTATCATTTAAATTGATCAAAATAACTCAGTATTCATCATGTAAGGATATTTATTTACTTGCATTTGAGTCATATTTCTTAATTTTTTTTAAAAACAATTTGAACCAAAGAGAAATGCGGGTCCGAATGAACAGTTTAGTTGCTAATAGTTAAATCATCTAGCCACTAAGTCACTGCTGATTCAGTTAATCATTTGTTCGCACTTCATAACGAAGTTATTTAGAATAATTCTTTAATTGTTTGATAGTTTGTGTAGATACAGATAGGAAATTGTACTAAATGCGAATTTAATGAGTTGGGGAAGTAATAACCGTAATGATAATAATCCTTTTTTTTAGTAAGCATACCTGACAATTCCATCGTACTTTCCATAAAATATAACAAAATCTTATCGCTAGTTATACATGATCAACAAGAAAGTATTTTTTCAAATCATAGCCAACTGACATAAGATTTGATTAGTCTTTCATTTATTTTAGATTATGTGCTATTAGTGATAATATCAAAAATTATTTTATCAATATAAATGTATTTTTCATTTCTCTTTTAGCTGCAAATCCTGTAACTATATTGGTACGTCAATTATCATTAAATTTACTTCCAATCAATACTGATTGCTCTTTATATGACTCACAAGGTCATTTAATAAACCGTGATCTTGATGAACAAATTGAAGAGGAATTCAATCGTCTTCTAGGCACAGCTGCTTATGTATGCCATTCTAAAGGATTGGATTCATTAATTCTTGACTCAGGTGTTGAAATTCCTTTATCATTAGGTCAAGTTATTGAATTATTAATTAAGTAAGTTGTATGTCGGACAATTTGCTTATTATTATTATTATCATCATCATTATTGCTATCGTTTTTAATCTCTGCTTAGTAATTAGCACTACATACCCGGAGTTATTTTTGTATACGTGAAATGTCATTGTATTTCTTTTATTTAGTAGATAAGTGAAATAGATTAACAAGTTTTCATGTGTTTGTAAATGTAGCTTACTTGGAGATTGCCCGAATAATCCCTTTCTGATAAAAAGAAATGAGCAGATTGGAAGCGTTTTGTGACATAAACATGTTAAATTTCCAGGATTACCATACTTTCCTGTATTTCTTCTGACAGTAGTTGACTATAATTCCGAAGTTAGCATGGTTATTTTCCTTGCATTATTTCAATTCGCTTTAGGATAGAAACCATGCTAAACGTCTTTTTCTATGTGTGATATACCTGTCTATCTAAGTATGATGTGTATCCCGTTAATTAGCTACTTGATGATTGATAAGATTTTTCACTGCCGTTTGTTTTTATTTCGGCTAGAATTTTCTAGGAGGAACAATTGCTATTTCCAACAAATGTTTGATTTTATTGACTTGTTTTTCGTGATAGCAAGTTGGCTTCTTTGTTAGATAAGATCCATGACTTGATATTTATATACGACGCGAATGTCTATTGAAACAGATCAAAACGTCGTGTAGTATAAGGACGGAAATCTGCTCACTAAACAAGCGAACACTCCAAACATTATCATGAAGTGAAATTGTTTACTTTATAGACACTACAGATCAGGAAGTATTAGATAGCTATTTCGTCGTAGTTTGAAATTTATCAGTTTTCACCTACAATCTGACAGCATGGGAAATTCGACTTTCACTTCTTCCTACATACATATTATTTCTTAGTCCACTGAGTCGGATTTGTGCTATCAGTGTAGCAGGAGATAATATACACAATCGAGAAATTGAGTTGGTTAGTGAAAACTGAAATTATGTGGAGTTAATATAGTATGACAAATAGGTTTATAGTAGTTATATAATGAACTATAGTTCAGAGATGGGGTACACATGATAATAAATTAGTGGGTAACTGACATGATTGTGTTTCATATCACTAAACGCTGTAAGTATAACTTCTTGCAACCATATTTTAAATTGCTTCAAAATATTTCCACTGTGTAGTGTTTCATTTTGTTTTATCAAACAAGTTTGTACCGGTAGATAACTAAATGTTTGCTTACATAACTTTGTTTGTAGTTATTTTGATTAACGCATTGTTGTTGTTTTCATTGAGCTTATTTTTGTCAGATTTTAAAATCTTATCGAAATACAAAATTTCCATTCCCTTTCTAATAAGCTAAAACTTTTATTTATCATTATTTTTGATCGAGTATTTAGATTATTTACTTGTGTGTTTCTCTAAATAGATCAAGGTTTTGTTTTGTACAATAGTGTATTTAGTTTCATTTCTTCTTAGTAAAGATCTTAACTTTCAAAAATCTAATCATTTATATCCTATTAGATTATATGTTGTATGAGGTGGCTTCGTAGTATCTTTCAAATTAAAATTGACACTGTTTAAATGAATTCACCAAAAATAATTAAATTATTTTCTTACTTTTTTAAAATTCATCATTTGAACATTCACAACTTTAATGTATTCGTATAATTATAAATCCGATATTCCTGAAAATGTTTACTTTATAGTTATATATGTAAATCAACTGTGATTATAAGTTTATGTTACTTAAGAACATTTCCTTTATATTTGAAGTATACCTTTAATTCACAGCGTATTAATAAGATTTTTTAATTTCTTTATATTTATCAATTTAATTTAACAAAATTTTTCTGATTATTAAAAATTTTTGAAATGAAAACTGTTATCTATAATAAAATACACTAAATTCCTTAAAGCAAAATTATCTTGATTAAGTTAAATGACATGACCGGAATGTTTAACAGAAATTATCTTGAGAATATTATTAACATTGCATTTAAGTAATTAAGTACAACCAATTGACTTGATCTTATTTTGAACACATGTTAAATATCACTTAACATTTATAGTTCTCGTAATTTGGATGTATTCACATCCTAGTGTTTATAATAACACTAAAACTTAAACCTAGTAGTGTTTTGTATTTTATGCAGAAAGTGATACTTAACATACATTTTAGTACTTTCGAATTCAACTATATTTTTACTATGTCGTCAATCAAGCATATTATTTAAATTTATATGTTCATTGTAAAAATTCAATAGTTGTTTTAAGGTTAGCCAAAGACAGGAATATAATACTTACTTTAATACATGTTCAATACTAATGATCAATTCAGAATAGATTAAGTGTACTACATAAAAGTGAATTTTAACAGTTTTCGTTTGATTGTTTCTTCTAATTTTTCTCTAATTTTGTGTGATAATTTCTACTAATTAACATAACATTGTTATTATTATTTTTCGTTAGGAACAATAATTATAGTCCCGTCATAGTTTAACTACATTTTCTGCTGTTTATTTTTGAATATAATTCTCTTCATTGAATGACATTTGGTTAGAGAATCATTGAAATGTGTACTAAATAGCTGTGTAGTTCTAGTTTGACAACAGTAAACACCACTATGATTACAAGTAAAATAAATCACCATATTCTCATAAGGGTCAATATTCTTTAGCATGCATACAAAATGACTTTTTTAATATTACAGCAGTTGAATGTTTTAACCTGTGTTTAGAGTAAACAAACAGTTGATAGTACAACGATGTTTATTTATTTATTTATTTGAACACATAAATATTGGTACAAAGGGGCACCAGATACGTATGCGCCACACAAACCTTATTTGATTTGTGTGAGGGCTGTGATACTGCCCGGGTGCCCAAACCAAAGCAGGTGGTTTTCTTCGGGGGCCACACCCGGAGCCTTTGACCTAAAGGTCTGATTCACAAGGCAGTGGAGTATCGTAAGGAGATGCAGTCCCAGGGTAGTCGGTGACCAACGGTACTGGAGCCCATGTGCACCATTGTTTGGGAATCAGGGTTTCCCAACTCCCCTGGGGGGACCCACTGTGTCCACCGGCCCGGTTAAAGCACCGGACATTCGCTTTTCGTCCTCTCAATTTCATAAACCACACCCCCGCCACGAGAAGGCACTGAGTAGGACTCACAACGATGTGCCACCAGTTACATTAGATAAGAGCTGTGCTCCATCACAAAATTAATTGATGTTAAAAATGTTAACCATTTAATTCAACCTCATGATGACTGTATTGGGTTCTATCTCGTCTATGTAGTTGTAGATCCATGCATATCGTCGAGAAGTCCCATATTTGGATAAACCGATTGTTCGACTCCCCCCGGTTTTCGTTGGTTCCTTCCAACTATAATTAGATATCATTTCTTGATGAAAATTATATAAGTCTTTACAAAATACCTTGTTATATTCATCTTTTATTACCACTACTATGGTTTTCTTCATATATTCAGAACCTCCTATTGTTGTCATGGTAATAGCTTGTTTTCTATTTTCTTAAGAAATTTTCATAATTCTTATCTTCTTTTTTCAAATTATAGATATCAAGAAAAGCATAAAATACAGTTGAAAATTACACATCGTAAATTAATATCACAATTATTAGATCGTAAAAATTCTCTGTTAGATCAGGTGAGTCAAAAAAAAGAATGAGTGTATTACAAAAAAGAGTTGATTATATTAGATGATATTGATATTATCACGAATTATTGAAGAAATGATAAATATCGAGTTTTCAAACTGACCATTCACTGATGTGAAGAAAATCTTTCTGTTCCTTGTTTTTTTTCTCCGATCACCTCTTCAAATGTAGGTGGAATCCTGTAAACAAGTATAAAGAAATTTCAACTTATATTCAGACGAATATATTTTCATTACTTGGACTTTTATTTTCATGTCCGATTGCCGCTTTCGGAAGAACTTTTAGAGTAGGAAAGATGGCAAAATTCTTAATTTATTGTTCTGCTCACTTCAGAATTAACCAACTAATTGGTTGAGCAAGTATATACATGCTCTTTCTCTCATTAGAAATTAAAGTCTATATATAAATCATATTCAATTTCCTCTATTTCTCATTTTGTTTGATTCTAACCAGTGAAATGGTTGCCTAGTAATTTAGGTAACCATCCTTATAATCAATAAATTGTAAATCTGAATCCAGTCAGTCAGTCAGTCAGTCAGTCACAAGGTAGAACTTAATCCAACCCTATCTATTCCTGTTTGGACAGCTAATTAGCATCATAAGTCCTTATACAAAAATTATGAATTACATATTTGAGTACATACACTCGTACTCCGTAGATGGCTTAAACCATATAATAATGATCGCTACATTTTTCATTTATAGTGATTTGAAGATTATACCTCTAATTGACTTTACGCCTTAAAATTTTTTATACATTTCCTTGTTGAACTTGTCAACGCAACTTCTAACTGATGAAATGCATGTTTTTGATTCTAATTCCTGCATATTTACAATTTAACAACCGATTTTTTTTAAAAACTTTCTTGTTTATTTGTATTTATTTAAGACGATACCTTTACCCTATTTCTCTCTGGATTTTTTTTCCGCGTAGAACAAATAAATGACCTATATGTTTTTAAAACTGATAATAAACATATCATGACTGAATCTTTGAATGACTTAATCAATGCACATCTAGATAAAACTTTAAATGAAAATAAGCATTGTTTTATATGGTTATATAGATTATTTTGATTATTGGAATATTTCTTAAGTTATACCAGTTAGGTCTCAATGTCTGCATCGAAATTAGTGAAAGCGACTTGTTAACCAGTAAATACTTGTTTTATTTGAATGTATATACAATTTCTATTCGTGTAAATATTGAAATAGACGTCAACAAGTGCTGCTTAGTGTAGTTCTTCGTCTTCGATCTAAAGTTTCACTCGAATTCGTTTTTGTAAAAACTTAATAAAAATATTCTGCTTTTACTTTTACACTATGACACTTTTATTACATACATTATCGACCTCGATCACTCCACGCCCTTTGAGTGTATAAGAATTGATGAAGTACATATTTGAATATAATTAGTTGGCTTAATATATCATTGTACCGATTTATAAAATGCCAATCTTTCATTTTATTCTCCTATGGTAAATTTCATCTATGAGGAGCTAAAGCTCTAACACAGCTAGCTTTTGGTTTGAATGCTGACATGACGAGAAAAAAAAAGCCAAAATTAGATTGATTCGCTTATTATAATAATTGTTATATCCCAATGAGAATTATGAATGGTAACTTTTGCGAACTATTTATGGACAAATATTATACGTATTTTCTTAATATACAAACATTCAGTAGCTAGATTATGTATATCTATGCTCCTCTTATTACAAGCTTCATTTTGATATAAACTGTTATTATACTACTTACCGTTCTTGAGTTATACACAATCTATTAATTACAGTCTCCCACATTCACAGCCACTTTTGGCCAGATCTTGTAGAAATCTTTATTTCGTTTTCATAGATGGTTATTGAACGTAAAAATATTGAAACAGCTTATGAAAAGTGGCATTCAGCATCAAAAGCATTAAATAACCAATCGTCGCCAAATCGTCACTGTACTCAACAATCTAAAACACAAAATCCTACACAAAATAAATCTCGTGTACACAATGATTCATCACCATGTTCACCTCGTTCCAGTAGTACTGAACTAGATGGAAAACTAGTCTTTGAATCAGCTTCATCAAATGGATCACAAAAGTAATCAATAGTAGATCATAATTTCCATTGATTCTCCTTTTATTGTTCCGTAAATGGCTTACTGGTTATTATTCATGAAATTCGTTTCGAGATCTCTGATGATTGTATTTGCATACTGTTAATTTTATTGTTGACTTTTTTTGCCACGTATCAAAGCTTTTCGTTTCTTTCAGTCTATATGTATGCAACTCAATACACAAATATTTGCATAAAAGTAAATAGACCAAGTCTTTTTGTTCAAATAGGGTATTTTGCGTATGTTGTTCGTGTTAAATGACGTTAGTTGTAGTACACTATGAAATTTCTCGTTCAGTACATCCGGTTGCGTACAACAGTAAAATTCAAGACCGGTGATCTCAAGCGTTGCCTGATTTACAGTATTGAACTGAATTGTAAACCTACAGCGTATGGTAAATTACAAAACTTAAGAAATTCTTAACAGCTGTGATATTTATACTACAAAGTTGAACGAAAAATTTATTTTTAAGTTATTGTAGTTATTAAAAAATGAAATATAAAAATACTATTAAGTGTAATATTATTCAACAAGCTGCTACTCTGAGTTCCATCAAACAACTCATATAGCCCCGCCCTACAGCTCCGGTTTATACTATCCTGGATTATTATTAAATCCAACTAATAAAAGTTGAAAAAATGAATAAATTGAATCGTGAAAACAACAATAAAAAAGAATATTTATTTAAGCAGTGCCTTATAGTGGCATTGTGACTCAGCCAGTAGGAATGGAGTTTTGAGGGGTCTATTTGAAGTTCTCACTGGCGCATCTAAAACTACCACTTCTGACCACACATTTATTAGTGCATAAAAATAATAGAAAGGCGACTAATATGCCAAAAGAATCGAAGTATCGGTATTATTAATTTGATTTCATAGAAACTGAATGGTTGATATTTGACAGTAAATGTATTATGACAATTTGTTTTACATGACATATACCTTTGTGATCTCTCTAATTGTCTTTTTCCAATTCTCATAACTATTTCACCAGATCAGTTGATAACAATCCGGTAAGATTATCCTCTTCTACTGATATATCTCAATGTCCTTCGTTACCAGTATTTAATGTTAGCGCTCAATTTGAAGTTCGTCAGTTACTTAGTCATTTACATGAAGCTTGGAAGAAATTTCAACCACTTCAAACTGCCCTGTCTCAAGTCAATAAACAATTAGACATATTACTTCAAGAACCACCGAAGTAAGTACATGCAACTATATATATCTTAAATGATTATAATATCTGGTAATTTCAAATTGTTTCCATTATTTGAAACATCCTTAAAAGACTATGGAATTTAGGCTATCTAGCCGCTACGTCATTTGATGTTTCAATAAAATTACATGCACAGACAATTATCTCTAATTCATACGAATATTCATCAATATTAGAACGAATATTTGGACAAAAATTGAGCTCCGAGTATAGAGAAGACATTATTTCTGGAAATCATATTTGAAATAATCTGAGAGACTGAAATTTAAGTAGTTCCAACGTTTCGTCCAGACAAGTTTGCTGGGTGGGACGCTGGACTTATTTAAACTTCAATCTCTGAGATTATTTCAAATATGATTTTCACAAATAATGTCTGTCTTTAATTCAATTGATCAAAAGCCATCGGACAGAAAATCGACAATCGTTAAGTACAATAGACCACAGGAACTGGATGGTCGTCTTGACCTCGTGTCATCGTCGTAGTTCCTACGGCTCTTAATAAACTTCTCGACTCAGTTGAGAAGCTCTATTTTATTTAATGTGTCATCTCCACTATTGTTTCTTACTATTTTATAAAAGTGAATTTTTCCCAAGTTTTAAAGACAACTTAAGTAGTTCAGCTGACGTGCTTATTAGACGAGCTATCAATATAAACTTGTTTTTCTTGACTACTGATAAAATGAAAAAAACTTTTTATGTTACTTCTCATAAGTAGGCTATAAGTAATAAACTTAGTTTCATTATACACAATTGAAAGGGTTGGTAAGACCTCTATAGATATCTATTTCGTATATATTCAGTGGACTTTATGTGATAATTCGAAGTATTTGAATTTTAGTATGAACTAGTAATTCCAGCAATAACATAATTTAATCAAGAAGTATTAGATGAGCACGAACGAATGTACTGTATTTGGAATTCAAAATCAAAACAGTCATCAATACAAAGAAATCATTGGTTCATTCAAACATCACACTTTAATACTTCTACAACTTTCATAGACAAGAATAATAACTGTGCATATGATATAGATATCATTCAGCTTTGATCAAAATATCCAGAATTTATTATTAGGTTACAAATTTAAGATCTGCTTAATCCTCCCTTCATCAGTCTAGATAGTTGCATAATGTCACCGAATAAAGCAATATGAATTGACACATTATTGAACTTTGAAGTAAAATTACTCAGATTTGTTGAATCTTGAAAATAATTTGATCCATATGACCATTAATTATGTATATACACACGTATATACGTATGTTGTGAAAGAGAACTCAAGTGGGGACAACCAATTCATTTTTTAATGCAAAACTACAACATATATATGAAGAATCTGTACAACTCTCACTATTTCATTCATGGTTTAATATTTGCATTAAAAAACTCTCTAAAAAATCTCAAGAAATACAGTTATTATGTAAAGTCTGAAGAAACTTACTGATAGAGTGAGGAAGTCAATCTTTCTATTCATTGTAAATGTAAATCTTTAGAACTACAAGATTTTACTTTATAAATAACATTATATTAACACTTTTGCCTAGACTGAGTAGTCACTTGACAAATTTCGGTTTTCTTAAAAATCAATATATTTTGGAAATGTACTACTAACAAAAACTATGTACTTGATTCGCGTTTGCTTGCAGCTTAGGAGAGGAATCACACATACAATAAAATTATCAATAAAGGGAATCTATTTTCGACTTTTGTATAAATCTTAGCTTAATTTAAGATGCTTAACTGTGAAAATTCAACACAGTAATTTTTTCCGAGTGAATTTTCAATAGACAATCCGCTTTAGTTTGATCAGCTTATGTACAACTAGTATGGCTCAAAACTGCATGAGTAAACTTGTATCTGATAAAGCTTAATATTAAATATTTCTTATTTTCATCGTGCTTAATGGTTGTAAAGTGCTCTATTTTTAACTATTGAATCACAGTTTTGAATATTACCTTCACGTCTATCTATTTCGACTTGGATAACTCCCCCAGGATTGCATCACTATTCATTATATACAAAAACATATGACTTAAAGACAATTATATACCTTCAATGTTACTTTGATCGATCGATTTACCGACTAACTGACTGAAATATCTTAGGACTTGAGATAGTAATCTGTCCGTTTAAATTTTTTATTTACAATAACACAGTGAAATTAGAGAGAGAACTCGAACGATTAAAACATTATAGGAAAACAAGATTTGAAGTGTAATGGAAGAAAGCCAGTTTATGTTATCTATCACAGTTGGTATTTTTATATTTCCCTTTTGAACTGCTCAGATTATTAGTTTTATTCCTTAGTTTGACCAGTATCAATCTTTACTATTGTCACCATTGTATATGCGTAAATGAATAGTTTGTGGATTTATTTCAATTGCAGACTCGATCCGTTTTAGTAAGGACAAGTTCAAAAATTCTGTCACTGATTTTCTCTGTTATTTCAATGAATTTCTCATTACCAATCTTTTTGGCTGTTCATGTAATCCATGTTCTTTGTTATGTTGGTTTGTTCTCATGTCCTTCAGAGATATGTATTTAACAAAAGAAGAACGTTCTATACTTGACTGGCATTTAGCTAATTTGGAATTTGCCAATGCCACAGAACTGCATAATTTATCATTACGTCATTGGGATCAAGATGATTTGTTTGAATTAAGCGGTGATCATTGTGTATTACAAGACGGTTATGGGTCAGTAACTGATAATTTAGCACATTATATTACATCTGGTCAGTCATTAACAGTTGGACTAAAACCCCGTGATAATCATCTTACATCTGTAACAACAACAACAACATCGTCATCGACTTTATCCACTTATAAACTTGGACCTGGTCATATTGAATTGAAAAGTACAGTTAAACGTATTTCTTACTCTAATACAGGTAAATTTTATATTCATATTCGTATATTTTGTAAAATAGACTTATCATATTTTAAGTGAATATAAATTGTCATCCGATTGCTAATTATACATCGAGTGGTTTTCCGTCCTTAATTCATTAATAATAGTGACAAAAAGAAGACTAGATAGTGGAGTTAAGGATGGTTATTTCATATTCGTTAAATCTCATTAACAGTTTGATAGGCATCTTTATTGTAAATTTAGCGGTGTTTTAAATCAAATTCCAAATTGACATCTCTTTAGAATATATAGACATTGGAAATGTAGTACAACGTACATGGACTTTAAGTGATATGAATTATAAGAATAATTTCATAATTTCAGTTAGTCATTTAAATATTGTTGATTATTCAGTTTTTGCTAAAATTATACTCTTCTTTCATGGATGATGACTCAATATTTCTCTTAGATCAATCATAGTTTTCACTGAATTGCATTATTTTTATGTCGAAATGGTGATCGCTATAGTTGCCGGACTGAATAATGCTAACACTTATATTAGTTGGAGGTTCAATTGACAGATTATTCTCCACACTTAAGGATTCCTCAGCAGTGCACCCCTAATTACCCCAAATGAAATCGAACCTTAACATCTTCAGAAGTTCTGGTGATTATGATATCATTCAAGCACTTAATCAGAATTAGTCGGTATGATTTAAGTCTATTCGAAACACAGAGTGATTTATTCGTTTAGTTAGGTAATTTTGATGTCGACTATTTTTCTCCACCCGTAGCCCTTCTAGGGTTGCTGCCGTCTCCTAGCCCGGGTTAAAGCGGTGAGTTGGACATAGGGCCGTCAGTCCCGTCCCGTAGAAACCAACCTTGCTAACCAGCATAAACGTTTCAAACAACTAAAACTCTGCCTTCCGAGTTGAAGGATCTTCATTCAGAAGAATTATGATGCCTGATGGTGAAAGCCGAAATTCTTCGGAACCCACGAGGCCGATGCCCCTTCTAACAACCAGAGCAACAATTAACATAGACACGTGGAATGTCCTAACAATGTGGGAGACCGAGAGGACTAATCAAATAGTTGCGGAAATGAGGAAATACAACATGATGGTGCTCGGAGCCAGTGAAACCTACTTCGACCAAAGTTGGATAGAAAATGATATATTCAGGTGAGATGCTGCTGTACTCCGACCACGAGGAGGAAAATGCTGTGCATATTAAGGGAGTTGCTCTGGTGTTGTTCAAAGAAGCACTCAATGAACTTATAGGATGAGAATCTTATGGATCCAGCCAGTATCATCAAAGCAGTTTTCAAAACAAAGAAGGAGGGAATCACAATGAATGTTACCCAGTGTTATGCACCCACCAATGATAGCAATGACGACGATAAAGATCAGTTTTATGAGAGGCTGCAGTCGGCCATAGCGAAGTGCTCAGGAAAGGACCGGATCATCACCTAGTGGTTGCGAAGATGAAATCGAAACTAAAGAAACACTGGACGACTGGAGAAACAGCATTATAAAGGTTTAATACGGTCTTCCTTCAAGATACTGACAAACTCAACGAATTCGAAATAGCTCTGAACAACAGGTTCCCAGGCTTATAAGATCAACCTAAGGAAGAGAAAATTCCTTTTTGGAGAGCAACTGTAAAGGACTAAAGAAGCGCAAACTTCAACGTGTCATGAGGTGCGGGGCCGCAAGAAACATCACCATAAGGAATAAATCTCCGTCGAAACCCTGGACGAGATTCAAGAATGGAAAAACAAGGAGATACCAATTAACAACAATCGAACAATAACAGAGAAAGTCAGGGCACAAGCTGCATACACACAAGCAAACAAGAGAGTGCAGAGGAGGATTAGAATCGGTGATCAGAAATCCGTGAAGGACCTAGTAGCGACAGCAGTAAAAGTTGCAAGAGAAGGAAATATGAGACAACTATATGACAACGAAGAAACTGTCAGGGAAATATAGTAAACCAAAGAAACTATTCAAGGACAAAGAAAACAAACCAGTCTCTGAGATTCAAGAATAGAGGAAAAGATGGGTAGAGCACTTTGAAGAACCCTTGAATAGAACAGCCTTACTTAACCCACCGAACATGGACGCAACACACACAGACCTTATAGTTGTCATTCCACCAACCATCGAAGATTTCAGGATGTCCATCGGAGAAATCACCAGTGGGAAAGCAGCAGGACCAGATAACATACCAACCGAAGCACCTTAGTCAGACATAGAAGTAAATTTCAAAATGCTCCACATTCTATTCAGGAAGATTTGGGAGGAAGAACAAGTGCCTATGGACTGGAAAGAAGAATCTCATTCAGATGTAAAGGCAGGGACTGGCAAAACGGGGACAGCATTTCTTCAATTGAAGAACATATGGGACTCAAAACAATTGTCTTCAAGTCAATATCAAAGTCAGAATCTTTAATACGAACGTTAAAACAGTTCAAATATATGGAGTCGAAGCTTGGAAAACTACTACAACCATCATTAAAAAAGTACAAGTTTTTATAAACGATTGTGTACACAAGATACTCAATGTCCATCGGCCATATGCTATAAGCAATAAGCGACTGTATCAGAGAACAAACCAGCTTCCAGCGGGAGAGGAAATTAGGAAAAGACACTGTGGGTGAGTAGGACACACATTGAGAAAACCATCAAACTTCATTAAGAGGCATGCCCTAGTTTGGAATCCTGAGGAAAAGGAGAGAAGAAGACCAAAGAACACATTGCGTTGTGAATTTGAAGCAGACATCGAAACAATGAATAACAACTGGAAAGGGTTGTCTAGGACAGGGTTAGATGGAGAATGCTGATGAGCGGCCTATGCTTCTCCACGAGGTATAACAGGCGTAAGTAATTTTATTGTAGAAATTCGAATTATAAGAATTTACAGAGTAAAGAAATTCACGAATTTTATTTTATATGTAATGTTACAAAAATCACGTTCAAGTTAAGCTTGCCTAATGATTGCATAAGAAATGATCAGATTTTACATCACACAATTAATTTTCGTGTCAAATTTGTGTTATATATATATATATATATATATATATATATATATCGCAGTCGTGAGCTCAACCTCTGTTTCACCTATATCTGTTGAGACAGCTGGTTGGTCTCACTATCCTTTACACAAACAGTGATCCAAAACTGAGTACATGAATTTGTGGCTGATGAGTTACATCGTCATACAGTAATCTTAACTTGATCAGTGTTTCTATAACACTGATTAGGTGTCTGGGTTATGGCTGCATTTTTAAATCTTACGATAAATAATATAATACGGTTGAATTTCAAGCTTTCATTGTCATACTTGACAGCATAATGATATGATAATTAAATCACCTTTGAATATTTTGATTGTGCATGGTAGTGGTATACATAATGAGCGTCTCTTTCTATTTGAAACTGGTCAATTGAATTTACTTTCATCTCGATGTTGATTTTCTCGTTGAAGCTCAATTGGGATATTTATTGCTCAAAAATAAACTAACTTAGCTCAGAGAATACAAGATTATTTTTTTCACTGTTTCAATAGTTTTAGCTTTTCTCATCTTCTCATGTTATACAACATATTTACGTATAATATGTACACAAGGAAGATTTTTGGTGTATAATTTGAAATCAAAATATCTTTTTGTTTTACAGGTGTTCAAGTGGATGTCCTTAATTCGGCATTTAGCCAAGATGATTTAATTGAATATGAAGCAGATGCTTTAATTTGTACCCTGCCATTAGGTATCTTAAAAGAAAGTATCCAACAGGATAATGAAACAACCATGCATCAATCACAAATTACAACAAATGAATCATCTACCAATTGTCTTACAAAATTAGTTGTACCACGTTTTGAGCCACGTTTGCCTGATTGGAAAATTTCAGCTATTCAGCGTTTAGGATTCGGTGTATTGAACAAGGTAAGAATTACATTTAATAAAACGATGTATACAGAGTGAGATTTTGATATTCTTTTCAGGTTGTATTACTCATTTTGTAAATACAACCTTATGCGATCAGTTTTAAATTACACTGGATACACGGGACCTGAAAATATAAATCGGCTTCTCAAATCGAAACAGGAGCAAGGATCGAATATGCTACGAGTTTGTTGTTTGATTACTATTGTCCTTTTAATATTTGTAAGGCAAAGACGATAAAAACAATGTTCGTATTATTATCTTGATTTCGTGACTTCTAGTTTACTATTCTTCTCCTTTACCTAATGTTAGCTATCATTTTAAATCTCAGATCTTATTTAATATTTTCCTTGTTGAGAAATGTTGACTAACTGATCAATGAGTAAGTAACCAACATTGTTTTATCATAGTAGTCTTTTGGTATTGCTCAGCTAAGCAGTCATTGTTAATAACCAGTTTTAATGACTTGATATTACGTTACCACTATGTTTAATTTGGAAAATTCTCTTCTCCAATCAGATAACGTTTAAACCTCTTATTAGAAAAAAACTTGTGTGTTGAGAACAATTGTTAACTTTACTTCATCAATATGGTTCCATGTTTAGAGCATGCTCCAACTACATCCATTTTCAAGCGCTAATCCTTTTTTACATGATTGAAAACATGAATCAATGTCTCTACTTGTCAAATGAGTTACCTAAGTATGTACTAGTTCGATTATTTCATTTATTTACTCTTTATGAACATTAGTTCCTTTTTTTTGGAATATACAAAGGATCATTTTATAAATTATGTGTTTTCATTGTTACTAATCTATTTATAAGTAAAACTTAATGAATAGATGTTGTCTCCTATAATTTTAAACGCTGTTGAGTTATCAGTTTTTTTTCTGATAATAATATTCATATAATTGACTAAATTTCCGTGATTTTTTTCTTGTTAACTGTTATTTTCACCGCTTTGTATTAGTTACAAAGTCTAGTTTTTGATATATTTGTTCATTACTAAATTATTTATATTATGTAGCTTATTCAGATATCAACATCTTAAGCTATTGCCATACCAGGTGTAGATGAAAGCAATAGGCAGAAGGAAAGCATATTTGTTGTAAGAAGTTACAAAATATTTACTTAACACATATACGTAGTATTCAATCGTCCGTTTACATCTTCCGGTGTATTCTGCCATCTGAACTCTTTACTCATCTGGTCTCCAAGTGTTCTGCTAACGCCGTGCTGTCGATACTCGGAAACTTTGCCCTGTGTAACAATCGCTGTAACTTCGGCATCACGTCCTGCTACACACTATTTACAAACATCCTTGTGAGTAGCGTCCAATAAAAAGGTAGTAGTAATTTATTGAACTCAATCCATACTTCTACATAGTTTGAGTGATTTTATTGGATAGTTCGTTTCGCTGTTGAACAGCGTTCTTCCACTCTCCCATTATAATTTTACATTGGTTGGAAATGTATGTACAGAGTTCAAATGTTTGGTAAATGATGATCCTTCATAACCGCAGACTAAATATTGTCTTCTAATATTTCTGTAGCCCAATGAAACAAGGTACTGGGAGGATTCAACTAAATTTTTTTTATCAGTTTGTGTTGCTCATTAAAATGTTTGTCTTTTATCATTTTAATGTATTCAATCATAACATTACATCGTTTTGACTGATTATGGACATTACAACGAACTTTGGTTATCCAGGTTTTCCATTATGGTCTAGCTTCAATTGACTCATGAACTGAACTATTAACTCACTATAATATTCACAAAACCCCTTTATGGACCTTGATTACTCTGTGTAAATTTTAACCACATAATTGATCTTATACAAAAATAGCTTTATAATAACCATTGGTTTGTCATACTTATTCAGTGTGCGTTTGAAAATCGTAATATATTTAGTAAACAAATCTAATTTCAACTTTACTGAGAAAACCAACCTAGGTGTAGATTCGTTGTCCTGCTGGCAAGTGTCAGTGAACATGAATTCAATGACCATATTCACTTACTGTTAATCGTTTTTATCTCCTCTTTCGTTCTCTAGGTTGTACTTATATTTGAGAGGAGTTTTTGGGATCGTTCACACAATTTATTTGGACATGTGAATGAATCAACAAATTCGCGTGGTGAATTATTTTTATTCTGGTCAATTACTGATAAACCTGTATTGATAGCATTAGTTGCTGGTCGTGCTGCATGTGATTTAGAAAATGAGAAAACTTCACCTACACGACGTCTATCACCAGGATCTAAAGGTCAAAACACATTAGTCAATAATTGTGCCACATCAACATCTCATCTATTAGGTCGTGGACTTAAAGAACCTATTATTACACGAGCTATGCAAGTTCTTCGTGGTATTTTCACTCAAGAAGGTAGTAATAGTAGTAGTATTAGTAACAATAATAATAACAGTAACAGTAGTAATTGTAACGGAATGCATATTAATCAAGAAAAGAAGAAAGTTGTTATACCAAATGTAAGTTTAATTTACTGAAAATAAAAATGTATATGATTTATTATCTTAGTTGTCGAACTAAAGTTATTTCAAAACTTCATATCCATTCTTCATTAGATTCGTAAAGACTACTAAATTTCGTTTAGCATAGACTTAAAATATTTTTGTAGTTGTCTGCTATTTATTAGTTTTATTGAATAATGAGAAAATGTTACTTTTGTACCCAGTTTTGAGCGGAATAAGCATGTGGATGTGTTTTGTTCAAAACATCCGACTGTTATATCAAAATTTTGGACAACTGTGACAGGTAACGATACAAAGAAGCTAGTCATAGAACGTTGCGTTCAGATTACCTCTGGTGATTAGAAATGAGTTCATACGGAATTATTGTCAATTTTGCTCATTTTAACATGGATTTATTAATGCGAGGAGTGTTGTATTGGCATAGAAATAAATTAGTTTTATCTTATTCTGGAAGCCTGTGATTTCCAGTTATAATGAATACAATATTAAAAAATTACTTCTTGTTCTAGTACAGAATCGCTTATTTAACTTTGTTCATTGTACACCAGAACTATATTTCTTGCATCATGTTGGCCGCTTTATATATCCTTGTCAGAAATTTGTGATCGCTTATCAATTTTCTAATCATTTGGCATTATTCCAACCGGATTAGATATATTTTCTTAAGTAATAAGTCAACAGACAGGACAGTCTTATACGACAGATTTCTGTACACCATTCCTTTGTTTCGAACCATCCTACTCCAATTAAATTGTTTACCATATTTTTTTTCTAGCCAATTGATGCATATGTCACACGATGGAGAACTGATCCATATTCACGTGGATCTTACTCGTATGTTTCTGTCGGAGCCACAGGCGCTGATTATGATATTCTTGCTGAACCAGTTTATCACTCTAATAGTTCCAGTAGTGAAAAACAAACAACAACTCATGTATCTCATCAATCCCATGGAATTGATGGTATTTCTATACCAATTAGTAATCCTCGTATATTTTTCGCTGGTGAACATACTTGTCGTTGTTATCCAGCTACTGTGCATGGTGCACTTTTAAGTGGTCTACGTGAAGCCGCTCGTGTAGCTAATTATTACTTTCCAGGTCAAACACCTGTACGTTCGTCAGGATTTAAATTAAATACTTCACAATCGACAAATCTACACTTCTAAATTACCGCATTGTTTATTTATTTCCCTTTCTCTAGTTTTGTCAGTATCTTTTCGGACAAAGCTGTATTTTTCTCCTATACCTGTACTTGTTCAACTGACTGTAGATTAACTATCCCATAAATAATTATTTTTTACCTATTAGATTTTATTTATGTGTATTCATCTTTATGGAATATCTTTTTTTCTGTAAAATATATTGGTATACTACCTTTGTGTACAATTGTGTCATATATTCCAGTTTATGTGTTGATATGTTTGCCTAATTTCTATTCGTTTTGTGCATTGTGTATGTTTGTATGGATCGAATTTAGTTGTTTTGTATTATACGTGAAGTTTTGTCGGTTACTATCATTATTATTACCTTCTGAATATTTCTTGATTTCTTTTATTATGAATAATGCATTCATTACCCTGTTTTCATTTAGTAGACAAACTTTATAAGTTGTGAAATACGATGAATGACAAATGCTTGTTATTCAGTTTTGTGTACGGTATTGTTATGTCAAACTTACCACTGGTTTGTAAACAGTTACATACAGCCATGTTGATAATAAGTTAGAACTTTGCATTCAAATATTTGCATTATTTAATTGACAAATGAACTAACTCTTAGGGTTACTTATTTTGTATTGCATAATGATGTGATGCGAAGTTGTTTTGTGTTCACTTTAACACTAACCTTTTGTATTTAACTATGGATTATCATGTAGTTTTGTTCTCTGGCCTAGACTATTATCGTTATTGCACTAAGATTCCGTAGATGACTGATGTTTCAATAGTAGGCTCTAGGTCGAAACCCCGCTACATCTATTTCAGTTTTGAAAACCATGTTTTATCACTAGTCTTCACAAGGGTAGTATGACTCATAGCCAAGTGCATAAACCTGTACTTGATAAAGTAGTTATATCTTTAATTACTTACTGAAAGTTTTATATTATCATTTTTTGAATCCATCGACTGTGGTATCAGCTGAAAAATCACTGGAAATCAAGAAGAATGGGATAGCTATTTCCTTTCAGTGCGAAATTTCTCAATAGTGCCTAATTACTAGTCATTTAACCTAAAAAATTTAGTATTCGCAAGAGCACTACAACGTTCAGTCTTTGAACGGAAATTCGGTAGCATCGTTTTCTCGGAGAGCTGTAATTCATCGTGTCAAGAGGAAGACTGGGTGCTTACTAGAGGTGACATAAGCTTATTACCAAGTTAAGCTTGCCTAATGATTGCATAAGAAATGATCAGATTTTACATCACACAATTAATTTTCGTGTCAAATTTGTGTTATATATATATATATATATATATATATATATATATATATATCGCAGTCGTGAGCTCAACCTCTGTTTCACCTATATCTGTTGAGACAGCTGGTTGGTCTCACTATCCTTTACACAAACAGTGATCCAAAACTGAGTACATGAATTTGTGGCTGATGAGTTACATCGTCATACAGTAATCTTAACTTGATCAGTGTTTCTATAACACTGATTAGGTGTCTGGGTTATGGCTGCATTTTTAAATCTTACGATAAATAATATAATACGGTTGAATTTCAAGCTTTCATTGTCATACTTGACAGCATAATGATATGATAATTAAATCACCTTTGAATATTTTGATTGTGCATGGTAGTGGTATACATAATGAGCGTCTCTTTCTATTTGAAACTGGTCAATTGAATTTACTTTCATCTCGATGTTGATTTTCTCGTTGAAGCTCAATTGGGATATTTATTGCTCAAAAATAAACTAACTTAGCTCAGAGTTAAATCATGCATTTCTGAAAGTTGGAGAATATTTTCCAGTTTCTTATGATTGTTCAGACTGTAGTGAAATATGCATCAAATACTCTGTTACAGCAATAATCGAAATGAAAGTATCGCCTTTTCAATTATTAGTCATTTCAAGCTCAATTGAACATAAAGTTCAGTTTTTCTGTCTTGAAATTTATACACAATGTTGTCAAGTATCCATTACCTAGAAACTGGGAATTTGCTTTTAGAGTACCAATTAAATTTCTCTGATTTAAGTTCTCGCGACACATTTGCCTTTGACTTATTTTTGGTATATTGTTAGAAACATTATGAATTTATTTTTTCTGCCTCGAAACTATTAGCTATACATATACTGGCTAGGTAAGAACAAAATGATTATAGTTTGTAAGAGAATGAAAGGTCGTTTAAGAATCATTTTAGGCGAAAGCGAGGAAGACAAGATTCGAAATTTTAGTAATTTTAACTCAGAATCGTTGATTACTTACGCCTGTTACTCTCAATAAAGCATAGGCCGCCGACCAGCATTCGCCAACCCACTCTGTCCTGGACCTTCTTTTTTAGTTCATTCTTCTCATGTCTGTATTTATTTCTCGGCGTAATGTGTTCTTTGGCCTTCAGGATTCCATGTGAGGACTTGCCTTGTGACGCGATTCGGTGATTTCCTCAAAGTGTGTCCTATCCACTTCCGGCGCTTCTTACTGATTTCTTCCTCCGTTGGAATCTGGTTTATTCTCTCCTACAGTGACTTGTTGCTGATAATGTCTGGCAATCGGATCCGAAGTATCTTGTGTAGAAAACTGTTAATAAACACTTGTGTCTTCTGGATATTGGCTTTCGTAGTTCTCCACGTCTTTGCCCCATACAGTAGAACTGAATTGACATTTGTATTAAAAATTCTGATCTTGGTGTTGATTGACAATTGTTTTGAATTCTAGATGTTTTTCAGTTGTAAATGTGTTGCTCTTGCTTTGCCGATCCTTGCCCTCACATGTGCATCAGATCCACCGTGTTCATCAATGATGCTGCCCAGATATGTAAAGGTTTCCACATTCTTCAAAGCTCCTCCTTCAAGTGTAATTTCATTGGTGCATTTTGTATTGTATCGGAGTCTTGCTTTTCTCTTTGTTTATACTGAGAACTATTGCTGCACTGGTCGTTTTCTCCTGCATTCATTGTTGCGTGTGTGATAGAAGAGCCAGATCATCGAAGTCTAAATCGTCTTGCTGTCCACTGTATCCCGTGCTTTCCTCTAGATGTTGACGACTTCATGATCCAGTCGATCACCCTGAGAAAGGGTGAGAGTAAGCAACTTTGCCTAACACCGGTCTTTACCTCGAATAAGTCGGTGAGTTGTCCCCCATAAACGATTTCAGAATCATTGATGAGTATGTTATTAAGGTTAATTTTCTGGGAAATCACTTCTCAACTCCATTTATGTCAGTAGTGTTCGTGATATGATTTGACAGTTATTTGATTATTCCAAGTTTCGAACATAGAATCCATCGGAAATCGAAGCAGCACACACAGACGTTACTAATGATGCCACTCCACCATTGATCGAGGAAGTAAAGATGGCCATCAAAAAAATCAAGAGCGGGAAAGCGGCCGGACCTTACATTACACCAGCGGAAGCATTGAAGTAACTGCAAAGTGCCGATGGACTGGAAAGAAGGATCTCATTCAGATGTAAAGGCAGGGACTGGCAAAACGGGGACAGCATTTCTTCAATTGAAGAACATATGGGACTCAAAACAACTGTCTTCAAGTCAATATCAAAGTCAGAATCTTTAATACGAACGTTAAAACAGTTCAAATATATGGAGTCGAAGCTTGGAAAACTACTACAACCATCATTAAAAAAGTACAAGTTTTTATAAACGATTGTGTACACAAGATACTCAATGTCCATCGGCCATATGCTATAAGCAATAAGCGACTGTATCAGAGAACAAACCAGCTTCCAGCGGGAGAGGAAATTAGGAAAAGACACTGTGGGTGAGTAGGACACACATTGAGAAAACCATCAAACTTCATTAAGAGGCATGCCCTAGTTTGGAATCCTGAGGAAAAGGAGAGAAGAAGACCAAAGAACACATTGCGTTGTGAATTTGAAGCAGACATCGAAACAATGAATAACAACTGGAAAGGGTTGTCTAGGACAGGGTTAGATGGAGAATGCTGATGAGCGGCCTATGCTCCTCCACGAGGTATAACAGGCGTAAGTACGTCAGTAACTTAGCATCTTGCTAGTTGACTGTATTTGTAGCTGAATTTAGCTTCCCGATGAGATGCAACTAAGTTCTCAACTCAGCTGACATTTAAATGCAACTGACAAAATGAATGTTAGGATTTATCCAGTCGGTCACTATTTTCAAACCAAAGGTCGTTTTTATCCTTCCGTGTTGTTAATATTTCACTGTTTATCCTTGCCTTCAATAAACTACACAAAAGAATAAGACGATTTAAAGTATTTAAATGACATATCGATCAAGCATCCCCGAAGTATATCATTGTAATTCAAGTCAATCTAGATGAACACAAGTGAATGTGTTACATTTGGAATTCGCATTATGCGTGCAATGATTTACAAAGGAATCATTAGTTTGTAGATGGCGTCGAGTCTCGATTGGCTATGATCACCACTACAGTAATATTAGGCGCCCGAAGTCGACTTGGTCCCTTTGATAGCTCGTAAACCAGAACGCTGTAATTAGTCCAGATAAAGTATATTTATTGGCTATCTTGTGGTATCGAAAGAATACCGATACGTGCCAACAAGTACAAGCAAAAAGAGGAGAGCGTAGGAATGTGCGAACGAACAAAATGGACAGCGGAACGAGAAGTGATTTTGATACAGTTAAACAAAAACGAGTGCAGTAAAACAATCACCGGTATAATTGGTTGTAATAATAATTGTTTTCATTTTACCAATCGCGTTCTCGCCGAGAAAAGCAGGTCATTGCAAGTTCTCATAAATACCACATAAATATGATTACATGTGAGATAGAAATTTAAAAAAATAATAGGATGCTAAAGCTCCCTATTTCATTTGTCCCTGGTAAAGTATTCCTAATACTTCATAAACACGAGAGAAAAGCATTATTTTTCCTAATGAGAAACTTAATCTAATTACGTCATTTTCAAGAACGATCCAACTGCCGTAATCTGAACACTATATATTGGATTGACCTGAGATCTCCTCCATAAGGCATCCTGCTCCAATATCTGAGCTACCTGTTCCTGTCATCCAGATATTTCAACAAGTTATCTGTTCCCTTGTTTGTTTTGACATCATTATCTCAATTATTTGCATAACCTATTCAGGTGCGTTTGCAAAACGTTTACGACCTTTCGCTGTACAAGTTACAAAAATGTACAATCACAGACATTTGGATGGCTGGCAATATGCATCGAAAAGAATAAATATTATTCAGATTTCGACTTTTGAAATTTTAATATATAACTGGCGATCACTCAATATTTATCATCAATATCGATCAAAAGATAGGAAATTGAAACTCACTGGAGTACTTTGTGCTGATTTTTGTTTTATGTACTTCAATCAATAATATCTAGAATTCGCATAACAGATTTTCCAACATTCTTTATTGCAAACCCTGCGGCTGATCAGAGATCATTTCGACGACAATATGTAAGTTCTACAAACTCTAAACACCTCATATTTGAATGAAGAATTCTTCGTTTTAATTGTTTTGACATTCTCGTTACGGAATGTTTGGCGTTTCCACATTGCAGTGGAAATATGTCTACTTCCCTCTCCATTTCATCAAATGTTGTAGCAGCAATAGAATTAGTAGCAGCTTTCATTGTCCTGCTGAACTTTTATGCATGTCTGGGAGTAGTGAACAGATGTCTTCACCTAATGCCATTCAACCAGGTAGTAACTGCATCCACAGCAATATAATGACCATTATTAGCCACTAATAC